CCTTAGGGCTATTTCGGGAATCCCGAACCAAGTAGGCTAAGCACTCACCCGGTTTTCTAGCCCGGAAAAGCCGAAACCCTTCCTTACCGGTAAGGCACGATTACGTTAAGACATGGGTTAAAATATCGCACCGTGTAATTCGTCAATTATCGATCGATTGCCGAGGATATCTGCCATGCTGGGCCCAGACCCCATTCCCCACGCCGGAGGGCATTCAAGATTCAACCAAGGCATCAAGCTAACAAGTGGGACGGCGGCGTTTTTGGCACCTGATTGGAGAGTCGCCGCCGTTCTCTGGTCGAAGCAATTACGGGGCGGCGACTCTCCAATCATACACTGAAAACGCCGCCGCTATCTATGTTCAATTGCTTTGAGGCCTGAGCACTCGGCACTCCGGCTTGACCGGTCCGTGGGATGTCCCTGACTGGTCTCGAACTAAGTGACATCCACGACCAGTCATCTAGGCAGAATCGCTTAGATAGAATCAATCAACTTCTTTCCCCTATGACCTTTTGGCACCACATAATCCTTATAACTTATAACTTATAAGTGAGTCGTTGGTGTAGCGATATCAGTGATTTGTCTGAGGTGAAATTAATGATTGTAGTGGTGGTGAAGGAAGAAGGCTACCTATCCACGGAAATCCACCCCGAACCCTCGGTCGGTAGGTCCTGACTCGGCGGCTTGTTGGGGCGGGCTTGAAATTCTGGGCCCGAACCCAACCCATTAATAACACTCAAGTGTCACAGCTATCCTAGATAAAGTACATAATTTGAGCGCTACCTCTATTGCTGAGCTAAACGTAACATGAAGTCCTTTTAAGGCATGAGCTGGCCCTGCTTGGCCGACTACCTGGTGGTGTAAGGATCTTTAATTGAATACTAACTTCTAAGCTTTTCAAATGGAACTATTCCAGCTCCTGCGAAGCTATTTCAATAGTCTCTAGTTTAAACACAGTAGTATGAGCCTTAGGCAACGCTTTAAGAAAGTCAAGCTTATCAATATGATTAAGGACAATCTTTTACTTTAGCTTCTGCTAAGCCTTGGTACTCATCTTTTAGAAGTTTAAAATAGCCAATATCAAGAGTTTCTAAGCGATAAGATTGATGAGTAGGCATGCAGATAGGAAAATTTTTATCATCCCTGTGTATTTTGTCTAATTGAGACATTAGATGACTACTATGGTTATCAAGAATCAGAAGATGATATTTCTCTACTGTACGACAAGCAGTAGCAGGAATAAAGGGCTTTTCAAACCAGCGAAGGTCTATTATATTATTAGTCCATCCATTAGGACCAACCTCAATTCTTCAATCATGCGGTAAGGAAGGATCTTGATACCAGCCCTCTATGTGAATCTTTCCCTTGAAGATAATACAAGGAGGATGCGCCTATCCAGTGCGAGTTGATACATTTGATAGAAGTAACACCTTTCCTAATGCCTGGTTGCATAAGAAATGTTTTCCATTTCAATTAACTTAAGTACTATTTGAGCAGTAGCTACTAGGCCTATAGCAGTCATCAAAATAATAGGTAGCTTCTGGAACAATGCCATATTGCATTATAGTGATTTGTATACAATTAAAGCATGCTTTGATAAAGTTAGGCATTTTGTATTCAGCATGCTAATAATTAAATTGTTGAGTATAGCGTATTTCCAATCCATTATGTTATTTGATAAAGTTATATACCCATTTCTCTCCAACAGTTTGGATAGGCGTAGTACCGCGATTGGTAAGAAGAACATTAGGCATTTCTCGTATATGAGATTGTTGGGGAGCCGCTCCACGTTGATCTAATGATAGGATCCATCGTACAAGAGATTAATCTTTATTCGGGGTTACTTTGTTATGACTATTTGCGTGCTTTTTATGAACATATAGCGACCACATCTAGTCGCGTTTGTAGAGTAGAGCGAGGAACATGAAAAACACGAGCTGCTTCACGAATATTGAAGTTTTCGGTTTTTTAAAACAGAAATCGCTAATAAGATCCTTCCAACCCGCTCAACTATTTATTGATTTATTTGCCTTGACGCGCTTTTGGAGCCATGATTGATGGTTGAATTCAGTAAACCAGTTAACTAGAACGAAAAACGTAGTGGACGGCTCGCTTACTAGATACTTTAGCCAAGTTAAATAGGAACTAAGGCGATAGGGGCTCGTCTATCCCAATATCGTCCTTTTCAACATGGTATAAGCTTATATTGAGATCTTCCCCCTTGCCCCCATAGATAACGTAACGTAAAGATACCCTACAGGTAAGGTGCTATTGAGATATTGATAAGCTCACACTACAATCCTTATATATACTCGTATCCAATAGAGAGATATGTAGGGTGACAGTGGAGACAAGAAGCACAGAAGATCTAGACCTTAAATAGTGTATACCCTCGGCCCACTTTGCTTGCTTGCTGATATTCTTCATCTTCTTGCCTGCTATAGATCCCAGGACCGTCTCTCGTAGCACTTTAGAGAGGCCTCGACAATGGCACTCGATGTACTTGTATCAACTGTGCCTTAGCAGCATTTAGCTTCTACAATAGTTTATGTGATATCTCACTTTGAATAAACGTTATTAATGAAACGTACTCCCCTCGTGGTAGTAGTAGCATCTGTGCTAAGGCTCGGGAGAACTTGGTTACTTCGTTTGATATAACCAAACAAGGTTGCTCTATCCACGGCATCCTCCCCTGGTACATGAGATACAATAATAATCAGATGCTTTGATGCTCAGTGGTGTTACTTATAAGTAGCGGGAAGACAAAGTACGGAGTGAAGTCTTCCATGCACAGATCAAGAGCCATCCGACTTTGCTTCTCAGTGGCATAACGGACAATAGGTGGAACAAAAATTTCCGAGGTAACTCCAAGTGTGATCTCTACGCTGCCTTCCATCCAGGCCAATTAGATTCTACGAAGATTCCCTTCCCTCGTGTAGAGCGCCGGCGAAATACGGGATCTTGGACTAAAAGTGATATTTATCCGCGTCACCGGCCCCTGGCTCATTGGTTATGTTACTCATACTCCTGGTCTATATTTCGTTTCTTATGGCTGGTCAGCTAGTTCTAGTAGTAATAGCATTAATCAATAACGGAAGCTGATTGGCAATGGATAATATCTCATTGAGCTGAACTCTCTAATATCTGCGATGCTACGTCGATATAGGAAAATGCCTCACTCTGTTGGATATACCGTCAGCAATGCCGTGCCCCCGGAAAGTCCGCATTGGGACAAAGCCAACAACCGATAATAGAAATTGGTTGGACTAACAGTGTTGCCAGGGACAGTAATATCAGGTTTTAAACAATCTGAATGCTGTTGTCAACATGCAGGTGCATCTGGGTCGAATTGGATTTACCACTTCTCCTACAGAGTAATTACTAACGCTATTATCCTGGAACTATTCCAGCAATATAAACTTGCCAAAGGTAACTCTCTACCTAGGACTGATATCATAATCTGACCGAATAACAATCCCACACGGTTTCACCTCACCACTTTCCCTTTTTCTAATATTCTCCTGAAATATTTCCTTGTTCTCCTCATAATCCTTCTCGGCCTGTGCTTTTTCCTTCGCTGTCATCGGCGGCGGTAATAACGATGGATCTGGCTTCCACCACTGTTCTTGACACACCTTCATTCCGTCTGCTCCACAAAACATATCTTCTATTTTCTGGTCAAATGTAGTCCGATCGAGAAAAGCTTTGACCAGTCGAGGTGGAAGGCCGATGGCGTCTATCACGTCGCAGTCGGGTGTCAGAGTTCGGAGGACACCATCGGTGCCGATAACATAGGGAGCGATACCGTCAGCGCCGCTGTTTAAGTTACTGTTAATGGTGGATAATTCTTTTTGGTCAGGGTGGTTGTTGGGGTCAGGACTATAGCGACTGGTGGTGGGCCGGCCTGGGCAAGTCATTTCTTCTTTTAGTTTGGACGATTGGGGTTTGATATCTCCAGAATTGTTGTCATGTAATATCGAGATGGTCAGAATTGATCAGCTGTTTATATAGAAAAGCAATGACAAGGCTGTCATGTGATTAAGGTCAAGGTAGTCACGCTACTGTCTGTCCATCATACTACTAGTCTTAAACCCGAACGGTTGACGATCCAATCATGGTCTGACGCCCTGGTATATCTCCAAGACTTGTTCATCTCCAAAGCGCGGCCTGATGCTCAAGGTTTCAATTTTAGTATCTTCCGGAATTAGGCGGTAGGCATATTATGTTAAGTCTGTTTGTGACAGGTTCACTCAGGTACAGAAGATCGTCGCATGAAACGTCAGATATTATTATGAACACAGCTCTCGACTGCCCATATCCGTAGTATAGCAACGGGAATCAATAGGACAGAATAATTCTACAGGCGAAAATAACTTCAAATATAAAATAACCCGTGTCATGCAAGATCCGTCATATCGCAACTTGCGCCGTCATACTCCTGAAGACATAGACCGCAAAGAAAAACAATATTGATTGATCACCAGAAACTGCACCATCCAATCCAGTGCTGACAAATGTTCTCAACGCTAGTTGCCTGCGCAAGGAGTTTATCAACCTGATCACTAACATTGAGCTCCTCGCTGGGCTTGAAGTCTCGGCCGGTTAGCTTCTCCTTGACTCGCGCTAGCACTTGTAAGGCGCGTGCATTCTGTGCTTCGCGGGCTTCGTTAGGTATGCCCTCTTGAGCATCAAGGATGCCGCCTTCAAGAATCGATGGCCGTCGATGGCGGGAGAAGTTGCTGGGTTGGACACCCTGTTCAGAGTTGATATTACCAATGATCGATTGCCGGCGCTCTGACGAGAATGGCATCCTGTCTGGCGACTCACGGACTCCTAGACGCCAGTTGATCAAAGGATCATGAATAAACTGCAAGAAAATAAAAGTTAGATGCGAATATTCGGTAGAACCAATACGGGGAACAATTTTGAGAACTTACAGCTTCCAGAACAGCCATCAGTGAGTCTTTGTTCTCTCTCAGGACACGCATGACAGCCTCGCACGTGATCCGGTAGCTTCCTTCAATGTTGCTGACTTCCATGGCAAAGGTCAACATACGAGTCAACCGGAACGGAACTCTTTCCGGATACTTCTCCCGATGCATTGCAACTTCGAAGCAATCGCCAAAATCAATGTGAACCACCTTTCCAGTAATCCGGTCCAAAAGAAGGTTGGATGGATGACGATCACCCAGACCAAGGATGTAACCCACCATTGACATGACACCGAGGGACCGAGTGTAATTTGTTCGTCGCTCCAACCACGCTTCTGAGCTTTTACTCTTAAGCCACAGAACCCGGTACAGATCCTTTCCGGTAGTGTTATCCATAGCATATCCAAAGACTTCCACTTTCTGCATGAGAGTAAGGTTGTCATAATCTGGCGCCATTTGCAACATGATACGGTGTTCAATATTCAGGAGGATTCGGCGGCTCTCTCGGTATTCTTTGATTAATGCGTGCAGCGTGTCACTGTTCGAGACCCAACCCAGGATACCAGAGCTCTGAGACAATGGGATGGCTGGGAATCGTTGCACTGAAAGATGGCGTTTGAAGCTCTCACTGTCATTATCGAGGAGCGTATTCACGAGGCCGAAAAGCTGCATGACTCGCTCATCCTGTCTAATATCTTCGTGTCCCTTCAGTGCGTACATGTATGAATTGCCATCGCTACCCTTTAGGGTCATCCTGCGTGGACGCTTCTTGGTTTGAAGGACATGAAGTATAGGATCGAAACTCATGATACGGATGATTGGTCGGCCACTCTGGTAGGTGCCCGGAACGGCAAGATCAAGGTCCACACAGTCTTTAAGTTTAGGTGAGACATATTTCAAGTCAAGTGTGGACAATTGCGGAAGCTGTCGGCTTATTTTCCGGAACACGGTGTAGTAAAGATCCCACGCTTGGTTCAGGTCACCAATCTCTTCGGTTTCACGGTATAGCATGCAGTAGTGCTTTGCCTCTGCAAGGTCCCGACCAAATGCCTGTGCGAAGGATACTTCACGCAACGTTTCGGCCCCCTTATCAAGCATTTCATGGAGTGGTGCAAGAGTTGCAAACATTCCTTCGACATTGTGGTCACCGAAATAGAGGCGGGAAGCTTCTTCCAAGCCTTCGTGCCAGAGCTCATGCCATAGAACGGCAACCCGAATCAATTCATGACTTACAAGATCTGCTTGCTCGACCAGTCTTGCACTGTGTTGCCGCATACTGTCCATGATGCTACTTGCGGACTGCGACCGTCGAGCGACATTTGATTTCATCGCAACGGTCAACGGATACACAAGCGCCTGAGGGTGGACCTTACCGACCTCAGCAAGTAGTCGATGGACAGCGCTTCGGACCCGAATGTTTGGCTGGTTAATTCGTGCAATGAGTTGAGGTGTAACCGCGAGCCAGGTGTCGATATTCACTGCAGTGAAACCTTCCGTAACAACGGCATTTACTTCCTGATCGCCGCCGTGAGTAAACCAGAGTGTAAGTAACCTTAGCGTATCTTGCAAGGATGAGGTTGACGACAATGATATGGATCTGAGGAAACCACGAATAGCCGGTATCACATGCTCTGTTACAATGTGCCCAGGAACCATGGCCAATGTCGCGCCATCCTTGCTAGCTTGGCTTGCGATCGTTGTAACGACTTCAAAGTTGGCCAATGCCCACGAATGCCAAGCTTTGTAAGAATCGCGGTTGTATTTCGTAGCGGCAGAGTATGCGTTGAGAACCTCACGGACGTGCTCCGGTTTCCAATCTCCCTTTTGTAGAGCAGTCTGCCACTCGCCTTGCCTAAGGTAACTCTTAGCAAGGAGCCTTCTGAACTTAGCCACATCCCCAATACGTTCCCGTAGACCCATGATATCTCCATGGTTTGTATCTTGGATGCCGTTAACGCCATTAATGCCATTGTGCTCTGACTGTGAGATCATGAGAGCATTGAATCTCGTGAAGTCTTCGGTGAGACTTGTAGTGAACTCCTTGAGCATCTGAAGAGCTTCACGCTGTCGCCCAGTAGCCCAGCTGAACTTCAAGCGAGCATATGTGACCTCTGGAGGGGCAACAGCCCGGGTACCATTGTTATCAGAGACAACAGTCTCCAGCGATGCTAGAGACCGCTCAGCAAGCCCCATTCGATTGGATTTGCGACAAAGATTGGCGAATTTAATCCACATGTCAAGGTTTTCCCGAGGGGAGGTGACAAGTGCTCTAACCTTGAGCATGCGCTGCCATACTTCAACATTTTGTTGGCAGCCAAGTAATCGTTTGTTCCATGTTTGACGCATGGAATCCTGCTTCTCTGGATCACCGATGTTCTGCTTGTATGTAATAATTTCCTCGAGTTCAGCGAGCATCTGAACGCGGACGACGACATTGTAAGCACGGTTATATGATTCACCAAGCAATGCTGAAAGTTCGGTGTCGAGTCCATTCCGCGCTTTTTCAATGTACATCGTTGCCTCCTCAAACTGGTTGCGATGAATGGCAAGAATGGCACCAAAGAATGACCTGTCGGGTGACTGTTCTTTCATAACACCCAGGTAGGAGTCCATCAATTCCCATTGACCACGACCCCAGGCAGCAGCAGCAGCTAGAGGAGCAATAGCTCTCCGATGTTCCAATGAGGCCTGATTCCACTTCTCTTGAGCAAGATCAGATAATATCTTCCACTCGCCAAGGGCATGCAGACAGCGCATTTTGCCCATTGTGACGCCAAAGGAATCCGGGTCTATCTTCTCACGTCTCTTGTAGGCAGCAAGGGCCTCCTCCCAGCGCTGAAGCTTTTCGAACCATGTTTCCTTGAGCTCTACATCCCGATAAGCTTGGGCTTTCCGAAGAATACCAATGGCAGCATCAGATTGTTGAAGCTGGTTGTTGATGGTAATCAAAGCCTCAACTGCACCCGAATTTTGATCTTGTTCGAACTCAAGTTCTTTATAGTGGAGCGCTTTAGCAAATGCGTGACACTTGGCGGCGTATTTGCCAAGTGTGCGGATGTCAATGGGGAGAGCTTTGTCGTCGTGCTCCATGAACTCAGCGAGGTTGAGCAAAACCTGCAAGATTTCAGGAGGGATATTAGGTGACGTGAGCGCCTTTTCGATCGACCGAACAAGTTCTTCCTGGTATTGGTCATACAACTCAGTCCAGCAGGATACGAAGGCAGCATTGAACAAATCTTTCGCTAATGGCTGGTAAATACCAGCTAGACTGGCGCATGCACGCAGGGCTGGAGAAGGAGACTCCTTCAAAAGTTCCACACTGAATCGACGTATCCACTCCTGCCAGTCCTCACGCGTCGACTTTTGAGAGGCATCCCAAGCATTCTTCAAGTGCTGCTGGTTGACAACCATCTTCTTCTGTCCAATTTCGGCAAAGTTGGTATCATCCGCTAGGGCTGCATAATTCTCATCAGGGTTAAGATCCTGCGGAAGTGGGTCTCCTTTCTGTAATTTTGTCACTAGAATATGATAATTAACATGAGTGATCTGGTGACGTTTCAGAACCTTGCTCAGAAGATGGATGTAGTGACTGAAATCCTGGCCCAATTGGAAAATGAGAGCACAGATACAATCCATGGCGGCCTGTCGCAGCATTCGATCGTTGCCCGCAACAACGCGGGACAGGGAATGAATCATCAAAGAAGCAAAGTCAGATACGTTGACTTGCCGTGAGAGTTTCGTAAGACTATCGATGGCGGTCTTCCGAAGGCTCTGTGGGTTTTGAGTTCTGTCGAAAAGGCGCACAATAGACGGAACAATTAAATGCATGTACTCCTCTCCACTGGTACCAAATATTAAGAAAGTGTGAAGTATTCTTTCTGAAGGCTGTCGACGTGGTGTATTGTCCTTGTCCAGGGTATCCAACATCATGGGGATGAGGCCCGCCATGTATTTCTTGAATTCACCTTCTAAAGACTTGGCAATGGCCTCCACAAGCAATAATATCGTGGCTTGAACTTGATATGATGCATCCCAGAAATCGCGAACAACTTCAATAATCTCAGGGAGGAAGGCCCGGATGTGCTGCCTCACAATATTGACTAATATTGCCATCTGGTTAAAATACGACTCCAAGCGGCTGGGGGGTGATCCTCTTATTACGGCTATAAAGCCAGGGATTATTTGTCCCAAAAATGGCACGCACTTCAATCCCAGTGTCTTGAAGATAGTGACGATGGCATCAATAACCGCTGAATGGTATTGGGCAAGGGAATTTTCGCGCAGTATATTCTGCATCAAGGTGTTTATGACCACCGTTGGGTAGTACTCTTCATTGGAAGGAGTGAGCCCCTGCATAATCAAAGCGACATCGGAGACAGTTTGGACTTCATTGATATGGTGAATGTCTGGCGCAGTTTCACTTATTTGCTGGTACTTGTACGGATCCAAAGCGCCAAGAATACCCAGCAATTTTATTGTCTCTTTCCGTAGAGAACCCGTCTGTTCCGTCTTGATTATATTGATAAGCACAGCAAGGAGGTGCGGATATTCAAGATACGGGTCGATAACGTAACCAGAGTTGCTGGCTAGCTGGCCCAGCGTACGCAAAGCTGCCTCCCGCTTGGCATGGGACGAGAGGTCCTGCAACGAATCCAAGATGACAGGCATCAGCTGTGGCAGGTACAACTTCATCTCGCCTCCCCCGACATTTGCAAGTTCACCGATAGCTTTCAAAGTAGTCGAAGCAACACCGGGGTTAGTATCAGTCGCTTTTGGGAGCAAGGTGGTCACCATAGGATCAACATATGACCTGATAAGTTTTGTTGCATTTGAGACAAACAAGCTGATGAGCTGAGCACTCTCTTCTTTTTGGCGGGCCGTGCTGGCAAATCCAAGCCCCGTCAGAAGATTGACGAGTAGTTTTCGAAGAGGCGGAAATACGTAGGCCGGGTTGACACTTGACAGGCGCCCAATGATGCAGATGGAAGCCTCTCTAACAGAGAAGACTTCATCATTAACCGCAAGGAACAAGCAACGAATATTCTCTGGTCGTGCAAGATGACGGTCGAATTTGCGATCTAAGGACCACAAAACTGTACGCCGGATCTCTGAGTCGGGATCGCCAACACCAACCGTCAAAAGCTTGTCAATGACTTCACTAACGACCTGTATCGAGTGACTACTAGTCTGATTGATGATTGGATCATGAACAAATAGTTGGCAACATGTAAGTGCTGAAGCTTTCCGAATTTCAGAGTTGTCATTCTCGACATAGTTGATGGCGACATCACGAACAAACTCGTTGAGTATGTGACCAGAGAAATCGAAGCTTCCCAGAGTGTGAAGTGCTAGTGCTATTTCTGCATCCGTATGCAGCTCTTGAGGGGCGAAATCTTTCGCAAATGATGGAATAGGAGGCAATCTGCTCTCTGGGCAGCCCAAAGGTCGAAACGGGGCTCCTTTAAGAATCAGACTCAGCATATCCAAGAGCTTTTCTTGGATAGTAGGCTTAATTTGTGGGATAAAATGTGCCATATCAAAAAGAGCTTGAGTTAATGATTCGCTTAAACCGCACGCGAAGATTGGGTCTAGCAATGATTCCATGTAGTTGTTGAGCGCCGGTCCTACAGCCAGTGACAACATGCTGATGCATTCGAACATTGGCGCTTCATTAACACCAGCACGGTTCCTTGCTTTCATGGCCAGGCCCTCCCTGATGTAAACGATGATCCCATCGAGGTATTGCGCAATAGCCACACCGACAGCGTTGGCAATCTTTCCTATAGCAATGAATGCCTCATTGCGTTCCTTGTCCCTCTTCAGCTGTGCTTGAAGGTAGACCATGAATCTATGAAGGTACGTCTCTGTAAAGTCAACTGGGGCATAGCAGGCAAGGATAGGGATTGTCAGAACGACTTGTGCGCGAATCTTTTGGTCACGATGATCTTTGAGACGAAGAACAATTTCACAAGCATTCCTGTAGTGTTCATTCATAAACATCGCGCCTTTGAGAAGAAGCTCTTTGAGGACTAGTAGTGACCCGTGAATCCAGTCTACATTGTTAGACTTCAAGCCCTGGAGTGCTTCTTCATAAATCCGTGCGAACCACGACTTTCGAACCTGAGAGTCTCTTGCAGCGATGATTTCGAAGCATTCCCTGACTGCCTCTGAGGCTGTTTCTCGGATAACCACCTTCGGGTCCCTAAGCGCAACCCAGATGAGCTCGAAGATTTGGGGGACAAAACCGTATAGAAGTGTGGGCGACCCTTTAGCAAGTTCACGGATAACGAGTACGGCAGCAACTCGTCGACTTTCTTGTCTTTCAGACTGAAGCCACTCTAAGGCCGACTGTATTTCACTCTCAACAAGCTCCGCAGTAAGAGCTCCACCCGGTTTAGCCAAACGGCCCAGAGCTTTAGCAGCGTATACCAACACTCCATTGTCGTTGCTGCGGAGAGCGCTTCGCAGATAACTGGCAAATCGGGTAGTCTTCTGGGCAGCATCTACTCCATCGAAATCTATCAGACGATCCAGCGCTAGTAGGCCACCGATTCGTTCATGTGCGTCGCTGCCTGTAACGACAAGTTGTGCAATGCGCTGGCTGACGGCATTATAAAATTCAAGAAATTTCTCTGGGGGCCAATCTATGGTGAGGGTAATGATGTTAGCATCCCCCAAGATACAGCCAGGAGTCAGATGTTACCTCGTGAGATAGCAAGGACATTATCATAAAGCTCGTAAGCAGCTCTCGCCCGCGTTTCTTCATTCTTAGACTTCAACTCAACGAAGAGTCGTTGAGTGACGTCCGTAATAGGACCTGCTTGCGCCATACTTGCGTAGCACACCCCAGGGTGGACATTTGAAGTCAACCTCTAGGGCATGTACGATGACACGAGTTGAGCATGAGATATAGAGCAGTTGATGGGCGTCGTGAATGATGTGGGAGGTGCGGTTTGAGGGCCTTCCGGGTTATGCACGGGCCAAGCCGCTTCTGGCCTGGGGCATCTTCTTGGCTTGCCGTTGTGCCTTATTCATGCAGTAGTTCGGATATGCAGTAGTTCGGATATTGGCTGCGACTATACCCTCAAATACATCCAATCTTTGATATCAGATATCAAATCGGATATACACACCGGTTCACCCGTACTTATTGCGTCTATCTAGATATACTACCTTGCCCCATCGGGTTTTCCTCTTGTAAATGTGGTTGTCTCATGATATGTATGGAGCCAACACTAGTTTGTGCTCGTTTCCCCTCGTCCACCTTTTGCCAGCCTTGCATTGAATAAAAATGTTTACACACACCCAGTTGCAGGATTTTGGTGCCCGATATTCCTCAAAATCACATGCTACGGTGTCATGAGACCCTGTCGTAGTTTATGATGCACAAAGTCCTTATATGAGAGACTTAAGTCTCCTAGCTTGTGCAATTCTGGGTGACTAAATCGTAAGCAACGGCAACCTTTGGAGTATGGATCGGCGTATTACAATTCATAAGAATTGATTTGAGAATTTAAATTTTCACAGAAAGAATATAATACTAATGGCATGCTTTATAACACAAATCGAAGAGGCACGGAAATAATTTTACATTTATCGTCCAATGGTCTAATCGTACAACCAACTGTTCTCTCTGCCCAAAACCATGTAAAAAATTGAGAATAGTTGGTGGTACTCTCTCATGAGGAGCTAAGAGTCTTCATCAGGTTTTTGGCGATGTCCTCGGTGGTATGCTGTGGTTCTCCCGAAGGCCTAAAACGTGGCTTGTGCCTGTCCAGTCTCGGGACGACACGCTGATCACCACGAGCAACATCAGAAATGGTTGTCAGGGAGGGTTTCTTGTAATCCTCAATGTTGTAGGGAGCCTTAGCAGTGGCACTTGCTCTGTAGGATGCCAAGCCAATTCTACCCTCCGAATCAACCGAAGCTCGGATAGGAGTGACCCAGTACTTGGCACCACCGGGGATAGATACGTCGAAGTAGGCTAGGCCAGGAGGAGAGCCCTGTTCCACGAAAGTCATGGCATTCAAGTCCTCCACAGCAATACCACCAACACCCGCAATAGCCTTGGAGGTTCTGCCCTTGAACCTACCCTTTGGCCGCAAGATACGGGCCTCCACTGGACGCTGATATGCCTGAGGACCAAACCTGGGGTGATTGTAGATTAAAGCATGCGACCGTGTGTATGACAGTCCGGCAGAAGGGTGAGTCTTCGGAGGACCGGATACAGCGTATTCTGCCGAAGACAGCTTGGTTCCAGGTGATTGGTAGTATTTGTGACCAATTCGGTCGCTCGGTACGGCCGGGGGCGAGGGCAGGTCCAATAGCTCAAAGACCACAGGGCCAAGGGAGAATGGATCTGTACGTAATGACTTGAGGTAGGTCTGGAACTCCTCCTCCGTAACCTTTACAGGCTCAAGCGCTTCCAGGTCCTCTCCGTTATCTTGAGCTTGCTTTCTCCGCTCGGCAGTTCGCTTTTCGGAGAAGAGTTGGCGGAGTTTTTGCAAAAGCTCTGGCTTATTGCTCCGCACTTTCTTCAGGTAAGCACTGAATTCGGCCTCCGTCTGTCCAGCCAGCCAGGGCCCGGAGTGCCTAAATTGTTTGGCGCCGGTCTCTTCAAGGCCTTTGCTAGTGTGTGTGTTGTCCACATACGACTCGAAGGGGCTCTGGTGCCTAGGAACAATACTAGTTGCGTAGTTGACTTTCGAAGGTAAAGAGAGAGGCATATGGAGTTCCTGGAATTTCTCAAGGGTCACCGTGTGGTCGGCCGCAGACTCGAAATCGGTAACATGTTCAAATGTGTCGAGAGCGTTCACCCTCACAACAGGCCTGGATGATTTAGCAGACGTGGATTTTGCAGGCAATGATCTCTTGAGACCCCAGTCTCCTCTTGCTAGCGATGATGCCGGGGTAACAATGGACGCTCGGGTAGGATGAGGAAGGGTTGCGGTGTCGGACTCGAAGACGACCTTTGAGGTGGGCGGATCCTGAGGTGGTTTTAATGCTTGCGGGAGCGCGAATAGACGAGACTTCCGCAGCAGGTTTGCTGTGGGAGATAGCCTGGCTGTTGCCATGGCGTTCAATGGGCAATTGCGACGTCTTGGTGGCTCTTCCTCCGGAGTATGCTGGAGAAGAAAAGTTGGTCGCGTAGACTAGCCGCGTGCCAAGCCTATCGGGTCCGGTCAACCGCAGCAGCACCAAGTGCAGTTCCATATACAACCTTTGCCAAATAGATTGTTCCTTGTTCTTACGCTTCCCTGCCATTATTAGAAGGCTGTCTTTACGTATACTTCATGTGCTTGCTTTTGGAAAATCAGACCCGATGTTTTTGATTAAGAATAACCAGAACCATGGCCGCTACCTACAAAGGGAGACGAATTTAGAGCACGTGACAGCCTTAGTACTTACACAGTTCAAGCCTCCGTTCTTACTCCATCAATCAACTCGTTTATCGATGCATTTTGTTAGATGCGACAGAACTGATCTACTTACTCTGTATATATCCTAACTAAGATGCTGTATAGGAAGAGTGTGAATTGTTTACATTCACCGTGAGAGGTAAGCTCGCCTTCTCATGGGCGGCTGCTTCAACATATAGGTGTTACATTTTAGAAGAGTTTAGTAAGACATCCGGTAGGCTGCCTGGGCCTTGTATAGAATCAGGTCATATCACTGTAATTGAAGCATTTCGACGAACTCTATACTAGTCTATAAGGATTATGCGCCAACCTCCAACAATGATTTGACTGTATCGACAACCGACTCCTTCAATGACCGGTACTGGATGCCTAATACATCAATAGACCTCTTGTTGTTATAGCCATAGACGCTGGCTGGCATATCACTAGCGGAATCCTTAGGGGGCAGCTTTTCCTCGAGTTGAGGATATGACTCGCGGATGATATCTGCAAGATCTTTATTCGCATAAGAGCCAGAGACAAGGAAAAATCTTTGTCCACCTGCTTCTGAAACCTCAATTGCTCTTACGTGGGCCAATGCAACGTCATGAACATCTACCCAAAGGAAAGTTCCAGTTGGAAGTAGTCCGTCCTTGTTGTTACCACGAACCAAGTTGCTAATACGGCTGTTCGAAGTATTGACGGCATCTAGGGAATTCAGATAAGGCACAACAGGCCCCAGAACAAGAGGAGGATTTATCGTCGCAATGTCAAAGTTTGGATTCTCCTTCTCAACAAAATCCCACGCGGCCTTCTCGGCAAATGTCTTCACATATCCTTATCAGCATGTGTAACACCAATACAGTAGTTTTGTCTTACCTTGCTGGCTCTGTAGGTTTGGGAAGGGTCCATCGCTTCCTCCCAGGTCACAGGGTTCCAGTTCTCTTCACTGTAGACCTTAGGGTGTTCCTTGACATTGACAATTGCAGCAAAAGAGGATGTAACCACGACACGCTTCACTGATGGGGCGTAGGCTTTAATTGCCTTCAGGATACCTGTTGTCCCTTTGATTGCTGGGTCCAGGAAATCTTTCACCGGGTCTGAAACATTATAATGGAAAGGAGAGGCAGTATGGAGGACATAGTCGAAGGGTGGGTTAGATTTGACGGCCTAGACAGCAATGATGCTTTAGCACTACTATGGTCGGGAGGTGCGAAAGGATGAGCGATGGAACTCACTTCGTCGAATGCGCCTTCTTCTGCGACGTCTTTGACAATAACATATGAAAGTTTCTCCTTCGGGGTATTGGGGTGAGCGTTAAGAATTTTTTCTCCCTTTTCTTCAGATCTAACTGTCACTACCGTCTCATATCTAACCAGGGACGGATCAGAGTCAGCGCGATTCACCCCAGGTGATTGACAGTCAAAATTTATAACACTCACCCACGCTGCAGCAGGATGTCGATAATATGAGCTGCAATGAATCCGCTGCCGCCTAGAGATGTATGTCAGAATTGTACTCATGATAGGGTTGGATGGCATACCAGTCAAGAGCACTTTCACCATGGTTGCAGTTGCAGTTGTTTTTATTGTAGTTTTTAAGTTTGTTTTATTATCTCAGGCTTAGGTTTACAGCAGCAACAGACGTTGAGCGAGGAACGTCTGTCTTTATATAGTATTGAGTAGAACGGACGTACCCCTCCTTAACGCCATTACTCCGTATTTGTCCCCCACCATGGTCCACCAGCGCAGTTATCGTCTAAATATGATAGGGCATTTGAGTACCTCAGGTGATGACAAATGTACCTGGCTATGATTTGCGTCAACTTGTACCGGAATGACGGGTTTTTAAGCGGAGTCAACAGTAAGTCCGGCTGTTTACGCCGCCAGTATACTACCAAGGTCCACGACAGTTTATTTGTACATATATGAGTCAAAGCTACGATCCCAAACTTGGTGGAGATTAGCAGTTCCTGGATACATTACCCCCGAAGAACAATAAATGTCGTTGCAACTAAATCGGAGTTCGGCATTCTAAGTTCACAGAACATTAACTAATATAAATTCAGCTGCTTACGTCTACGACTTGACAAATAAGGGGCAATTGTTTCTACCACTGTACAGTTGCTATACTGTGTAGGAGGTTCCGCAAAGTTCGCAGTGTTAGTAATACCAGTATCCTGTGTAGACGCGGCATATCCCAAAATCCGTGTTTAACTGGTAGGAACACTTCTTAAGTCTACGAAGCTCGTCCGTTGCTTTAACGATGACCGGCGTTTGACCATATAGAAATAACGAGGATATGTCAAGAAACGCTAGTGGCTTCACTAAAACAGTGTATTCCATTTGCCTAGGAGTATATCTACTTGACAGCTTGGGTATCATCAACTTTGCTAACGCTCAATCTGTATAGGTCACAATTCCAATGGTATATGACAGAGAATGCTCCCTTTCGTCACTTAAAATTCTTGAGGCATGTAGCCTTCAATGGATCCTCCTTTGTTGTCTCCTGGGCGCATCTCCGGTGCTGTGACGTGCTCATACGCTATATCGTCCTTCTCCTGGATCCGAACATCTACTCGCCCGGCCCGTAATGCCAGGTTTGCATCTCCGCGTTCCAAGGCGAGCTCATGGGAGTGAGCAACATCACGAACAGAGAGTTTGGACATGTCACCTGCTAGGTTGCTCGAACCTGGCGTTCTGCTCATGTGCAAATAGTCCAATTGAGCAGTAACTTCCCCTACCGTGGCAGAGCTTTTCGCCTTACCTTTCCCTCCCTGTGTCATTGCTCTCCCTTCCTCAAGCAAGAGAAGATTCTTGCCTCGGGCGTCATCGGCACGCCTTTCCCATACCGGCTCCTCGGCTAACTGTACTCGTATATACAAAGCTCTTTCAGCGCACTCATCCGAACACCACATCTCAAGCTTCTCACGAGGAACTATGTTCATATCCCGTCCCCGGCCACCGGGACCACTACCTTTAGCACCCCACGTTATGCGATAAGCCCCACGAGAGCCGTCCTTACGGTGCTCGCGAGGACATAGACCGTATCCACAGAGGCCCTCAATATTCCGCTCTTGAATCAAATTATCATAGTCTGTTGGCTGGAAGGGTATCAAAGCTGATTTGAAAGCCTGGGCATCTTCTGGTGACGGAGAAGCAGGATCTGCTGAAGGCGAAGACGGAAACGTGACGAGTTCGAGAATGCGATCCAAGATAAGAGATTCCGTATCTTTTTGAGCCTGAATACGATGCGCGTGATGTAACGCTATGGCAAGGTGACGTGGATCAGCGTTTGGCTTGTTCGTGGGCTGTCCATTTTGCTGGCGCGACATATTGGACTTTGGTGGCGCACGGCGCATGCTGGACGGAGCCTGTGTGGAAGCAGCATGAGCCGAAGGAAGGGAGGTCTTCAAACTGGACCGACTGGCGGACATTTTGTAAGGTAATTCTGTCAGTGGTGTGGAGGGACAGCAAAATGGTTGGACATGAGAGGGTTGTGAAAGTGAAGTGGTGCTTCCGGGTCGGGAGGCAAACCCCAGATTCAAATCAAACCCATGACGACGGATCGGATGCCACTCCCTTAGTAGGATGAATTAAAGCCCACCCCAAAGGAAAGAAAATCGGTTGGATGGTAAATTGATACAAAAAATGGTGCCAGATGAGACATAATCTGACCGCCATGTTAGCGACCATAAGAAGTCTTTACCCCTCCACACACCTAATCTCCAAAATCATCGACACTTGGGCAGTTAGTGAGTCGTGGTGTGGCAGGTCTTTGAATATTATTAGCTGCTGATCGCCCCGTGGTGGAGCAATTTGTCCCGCCAAAAGGTGACGACGGTTGTCTGTGTTCCTTACACCTCCGTGTCTCCTCGTTCCCCTTCATTTCCCTCTCTCATGTCCCATCCCTTTGTCTCTTCCCCTCCTTGGCATTCGTCCTGAAGTTATATCCCACAGGAATTGATATCTTTAACTTCAGTAAGTGATATATACTGAACCATAACCTTTGGGAGGGCATTGCCAGCCCCAGGTTATGCTGTGACGTACGTCAACCAGGCTGACATATTTTGGTTGGTACTAGTTTCCTTTAATCTCCTATTCCCCGTGAAGCACCTTTACATATGCCCCTTTGCATGAAGGTTGCATAAGTCGGTGCTTCACTAAGTACAAATATCGAGTGTCGGTCTGGTTAATGCTCATCTGCCGAACCTTTAGTATTTACATATTGTCCCTCATCTCCGCGATAGGGCCCGGCTTGCCAAATGTCCAACCCACCATTCACGGCCAAAGCGGTCTTCGAGTATTCGTCGAGCCACGAGGATGACCTGACATTTTCAATCGGCCAAATTATCACCGTCACTGCGGAGGAAGATGCAGAGTGGTACTATGGCGAATACACAAACGAGTCAGGTAGCAAGGTAGAAGGCATCTTCCCAAAGAATTTTGTGGAAAAGTATGAGCCCCCCGCTCCTCCGCGACCGACGCGCCCAAGTAGGCCAAAAAAGGAAGCCGATGTCGCCCCTCCCTCTGCGCCTGTTGCAGTCGAGACTCCGGCTGAGGGTCAACCCGCGCCGGAGCCAGAAATAGAGGAGGCCCCTGCCGATGAGCCAAGGAGCATCCCCAACCCTCCCCAGTCGCCTCCTCCTCCGTCAGAACCTTCGCCTAGTGAGGTTGCGTCCCCGCTTAAGCCGGCGCCTGCTCCAGCTTACCAGCCGTCTTCCCCCGAAGTGAAAGAGCCGGCTCCAAAAGCTTCGCCGAAGCCTACGCCACCTGCGGTTGCTGAGAAACCTGCCTCGTCTTCATTCAGAGATCGTATCGCAGCATTTAATAAACCAGCAGCGCCTCCGATTGCACCTTTCAAGCCGGGGGGTTGGAGCTCTGGGGGCTCTAGTACGTTTATCAAGAAACCGTTTGTTGCCCCACCACCTAGCAAGAATGCCTATGTACCCCCACCAAGGGAGGCTCCTCCCAAGGTCTACAAGAGAGAAGAGGATCCAGACGTCCAGGAATATGTTCCGCGTGAGCCGCCCGCTTCTGAAAGTCGACCTGCGCCAAGTGAAACCACCGAGAATAAGGAGCAAGACCAGCCTAAGCCGACATCTCTGAAGGAGCGGATAGCTCTTCTGCAGAAGCAACAAATGGAGCAAGCTGCACGCCATGCCGAAGCTGCCCAGAAGAAAGAAAAGCCGAAGAAGCCCCCTCCGAAGAAGCGCGCAGAGTCGTATGAGGGAGCCGCACCAGCAGAGGAGCCGAGTGCTGAGAGACCAGGCTTAATGGAACCTGGGCGAGATCACAGTGCTGAGACCGTTAAGCCCGACGCTTTACCTGTGCCACAACCACCTATGTCTCCACCACCTGTACGCGAGCCGGCGAGTGATGCCAACGACGCTGATGACTCCGCTGCCGCTGATATTGAAGATGCGGAGGAGACTTCTACAAGCAAGGAAGATTACGACGAGCGCGCCCGTGCTGAATCTCGTCATGTGGCTCAACCTCAGGAACAGAAGGGTGAAGAAAGTGAGAAGGACAGACGCGATGAAAACGAAGACGAGGAGGAGGGAGAGGAAGAAGAAGAGGAGGAGGAGGAGGAGGAGGAGATCGACCCAGAGGTCAAGCGCAAAATGGAACTTCGTGAAAGGATGGCAAAAATGAGTGGTGGAATGGGCATGATGGGCTTTTTTGGGCCTCCCGGCGGTATGCCTCTTCCTGGCGCTGCCCCTCGTAAGCCAAAGGCGACCACGGAACCCGAGAGAAGGGATAGAGACGCGGAGCCGACTTCGCCAGCTGCTGCACCTCCGGTACCTGTTATGGCTCTTCCAGGGATGAATACTACCAGACCGGCTGCACCTCCAACCGTGGAAAAAGAGGAAGAAGGGGCTCCAACTACTCGTTTAGCGGAACAGCATCCTGCAGAAGAAGTTCCTGATGTTGAGGAGGTTGTTCCAGAAGAGCCTCCCCGTCCTGTCTCCTCAGACAGGGCGCCCGCACACCAAGGTATGAAGACCGGTTTCCTATCTCATGTTCTATGACCCCCAAAGCTCACAAAGCATGTCATATAGAGCGTCCTGCTCCTCCTCTTCCGCCTCTGGAAACACGGCCTGTTCCTCCTCCTATTCCACAGGGTCAGCCCCTGTCACCTCCACCGGTGCCTGAACGTAAGTTAAAATTTCTTATCCTATCTTGGTTATTTCGCCCATACTAATCTTCCTTGAACAGCCCGTCCAGTTCCTCCCGCAAAAAACTCCACATCTGGCGACCCGGGCGAGGAGTCGGATGATGAGCTTTCCGTGCATGCTCAAAACTTGTCTTTGAACGCCCCGGCAACCGATAGGTCTGCCTCTCCTCCATCGGTGCCAGCGCCTCCGATTCCTGATCATGTTGACTCGCGTCGTTTGTCGACATACGATGTCACGTCCCCGAAATCACCAACTTTTTCGTCAGAGAAGAGACTCAGCCGCCAGCCCCCGCCCATCCCGGCAAATCCTCCCATCCCGTCGCAAACACGGCCACCACCTCCCCCTCCTCCGGGTGATCTCCGTCGCAGATCAACCGCTGATAGCCGTGTCAGTGCAGCCTCACAGCCTCGTCAAGCCGGAGAGGAAGTAGAAGGTGAAGTCACGGAGTATGACGGTGACTATGATACAGACATTGCGTCTGGTGCAAAGTTCAAAGATGCATTAAAAGCTCATGGACGTGATTCAAGCATTGACGAAGGCACCATAAACGATGATCATTCTCTCCAGTCACCGCGAAGTCCCCATGAGGCCCGTCTTCCGCCACCGCCTCCTCCGTCCGCACCCAGAGCAGTCCCTCCACCACCCCCTGTTCAGCCCCCCCGAAGCGCTGGGAGAGCTTCCATGGAGTCTCCCAGAGGACCGCCTCCACCTCCGCCCCCGCCCCACAGGGAGCTATCTTATGGCGATGACGATGAGTACGATCCTTACCGTTACTCCGCTCCCCAGCATGGGTTGCCTTCCCCGAGAGCACCACCCGTATCTACCGAGCGACGATCGGTAGTGCCACCCGTTGCTCAGTCAGAAAATGTTGGAGAAGACTCGGACGAGTTGTATGAAGCATCGCCAGTACAATCGCCGCCTCTGCCTCCCATTCCTATGTCGCCTGAAAGACGTAGCTCGATGGCGCCTCCACCACCTCCTAGCATGCCTCCCCTTAGCGCTGCCCCTCAACCTCCGCCCGCATCACGGAGCAATCGTGCATCCTTGGATGTTTCGAGAGGCCCGTCCAACCTGCGGAGGTCTATGGACATAAATCGTCCCTCTGTCGATCAGGGCTACATTGCCATGGATGTTGATTTGGCGGAGCACACGCTATGGTGGGCGCAACCAAATAATCCTCCTCCTGCCTTCCAAAACAGGAAAGATGTTTTGTTCGAATTTGAAGATTCCGGCCCTACAAATCGTAGCGGAAGTACCAAGGTTACCAAAGAAGTCTATATTCTATTCATCGACTATTCTCAAACCATAATTACCGTGAACTTCGATGCCCGGAATCCTTCCGATGCGACTCTGCAGCAACGCCATGAAGCTCCCCCTCTCCAACCTCGCCAGGACCAACTCGAAAATGCACATCTTCAAATTGGGACCCGCATCGCCACTGCTGTGAATGGCATCCAGAATACAACTGTTGCAGATGGCACTCCATTCGGCCTAGTTCAGCACCTGCTCAGTCCTCTCACCGATGCCCTACACCCTGTCGGCACACGTGCCTACGGTGCCTTAGTTTATTCCAATTTAGCCAACGCGTCCGTGCAACAAAATGACGAAATCCGTGCTGGTGATATTGTCAGCTTCCGTAACACACGCTTCCAAGGCCACCGCGGTACCATGCATCAGAAATACAGTGCCGAAGTCGGCAAGCCTGACCATGTCGGTATCGTTGTTGACTGGGATGGCACTAAGAAGAAGATCCGTGCATGGGAACAGGGTAGGGAAAGCAAGAAAGTCAAGGTGGAAAGCTTCAAACTCAATGATTTGCGCAGTGGAGAGTGCAAGGTCTGGCGGGTAATGCCTCGCAACTGGGTTGGCTGGGGCAAATGAAGTCGAACAGTAGTAGACTGAGAAGTGTGGCTAGCTTCAGCAATGACTAGCTGGTGAATAATGCGTGGTATAATATGGGCTGGGTGGCATTATGTTTGTTCATCATTTCCTGTCCCTTCGCAATTCCTCCAGGGAGCCCTGTGGAAACCCAACTGTTTGAACAGAAGATGAGTAAATGATTTGATTCTGGTATATGCTAATTTCACATGGTACATGAACTGCAGTCGTGTCTACTAGTAGGATGACTTGCATGACGCTAGCCTCCGTGTTCTTATCAGCTCTTTGTATGTATGTATTGATGTTAATCACTGTGTTTGAACATGTGCATCATGCGTCCCCTTAACTTGTAGCATTCAATGATATACATTCTTTATTTCCCTTTTCATGGCATTTACCCCAGCGAGGATTGGAGCTTTTGAATTAAGACAGTAATGTTCTTCTCCTTAATGTTTTTTCTACGTTTGATTGCAAACCCTTCTGTATTTACTTGGACAAAACTACAGGTAGCCTCAGGCACCAAAGCAACAACATCGGCCCGGTGGCAACGCCATCCTTCCCATTCGGGAAGCTCTTCCATCAACTTGAAAGAAAGCGATTCAATCCACCCACAAACTTGAACCCGCCCCTCCCACCCTTCCTCACACCGCAGCTCGCCTGAACTTAAGTCAAAATGGGTGGCGATCTCAATCTCAAGAAGTAAGCAAGCACCCCCCGTCTACCAACACATTGCCAAATCCCAATTCTAAACTCAAACTACGCCAACCCAATAACTAACATACAAAAACATAGATCATGGCACCCCTCACTCCTGCGCAACCAGGAGCGCGTATGGTCGGAGGAAAAACGCGCCCTCGAAGAACGCAAGAAAGTCGAGCAACTCCGCCGTGAGCGCGATGAGGAGCGCCAGATCCAGGAACTTCAGCGACTACAAGAAGACTCAGGCAAGCCGCGGCAGCATAATCGGGTCGACTGGATGTATCAGGCACCGTCGAGCGCGACTGGTCATTACTCTGAGGAGATGGAAGGGTATTTACTTGGTAAGAGACGGATTGATGGGATTCTGTTGAAGAATGATGATAGCAAGAAATTGGAGAAGGGGGCGGATTTGATGGGCGCGCCGCTGCTGCGCAGCCGGTCGCTGGGATGGGGAATCCGAGGGATATGATGACAAAGGTTATGGCGGATCCGTTGATGGAGATTCGGAAGAGGGAGCAGGCGGCGTATGAGAATGCGGTCAAGGAGGCGGCTGCGAGAGGGAAAGCGATTGCTAGGGGCGAGAAGGAGAAGGAGAGGGAGAGAGATCGTGGACATAGGAGGAGTAGGAGGTATAGCGATGAGGAAGGGGATTCTCGGCGTCATCGTCATCGGTCGCATCGGCATCGGTCTAGGTCTCCTGCTTCACCCGAGCGATCGCATCGGCGACGCAGAGATGAGAGAGATGACCGAGACCGCAGGGATCGGGACCGTGAGCGTAGGAGTGACCGGGACCGCAGAGATAGGGATGATAGGGATCCCCGTTCGAGCAGACGCGGAGAACGTGATGAGAGGCACGATCGGTCCTCTCGCAGAGACTCGCTACATGACAGACCTCCTTCTCCTCGGGCCGATCATCGTCATTCCGATAGGCACCGCGCAGATGACAGGAATAACGACTACTCCAGAGACCAGGATCGGCGCGATAGGCCCTATCGTCACTACGACAAAGACAGAAGAGACAACAGAGGCCCCAGAGACTCGTACTCCCGCGACCGTCCCAATGACGCCGGGGCTGGAGACGCGAACAAAGCAAAAGAACTTGAAGAAGAGCGCAAGCGAAAGCTGGCAGAGATGCTGTCCAACGCAGATGAAATGGAAGACACTCGTCGCCAGCGGATTGCCGATGTTACGGCTATGGAAGAGAAACAACGTGAGGAAGACGAGAAGCAGCGCTCAGAAAAGGGTCGGTTTGTCGCAGGTCTTCATCGTCAGCTCCAGGAAGATAATCTAGATGACCGAATCAAGCGTAGTCGTGGTGGGCTTTCTCGGATAGAGGACTGATACCGAGCTTTATCTTGCTGTCTCCTGGGAGTGCTGAGGGCTGCATATTCCGTATTTTGCATCCAGCGTTCTTGACGGTCCTTTCTGGCGTTGTTATTCAGGGTTCTTCGTTACTCTATTTCATTAGATATTCTCTCATGCGTTGCGTTCATTGTGATGTTTTCAGTGGACAATATGATATCCCTTTAAGATGATAATAAATTAGGATCACTATTCTGCAGGGTATCTTACAATTTTGCGCCGGACGTTACCTCTACTTCTACTCATAAAATCACAGCAAGTCCAGGCGAGTGGGAATAGACCGTGTAGCTGTTAAATCCACGACAACCTTCGACATTCGAAGTACGGAGTATAGAGACAGGAATTACAACAACACGCCCATCAAACTGACCAGCACGCGTTTCCCTCGGAATCTGCTGACTATCCAGCTTAGAGTGATCTAAGTCATTTAATAAACAACCGGATTTCCAGTGTTACTTTACTTTCCCTGACTATTCTTCATATAATTTATCTTACATGACACGAAGTTGGCAGTGAAGAAGGCACGATGATTAAAGAGGTATCACAGATCCGCGTTTGAAATCGCTAGAATAGAAAAGAAGATAAAAGTCTAACCAGAAACAGAATTTAAGTATACTACATTACAACAATAACAACTCTCCCGTAGCCGCTCCACCAGCCAGCTGGGGCTGATACACCTGTTGCTGATTTTGGCTGACAATATACTGCGTCTGCGGCGCACCGCCGCCTCCAATACCATCCCCGCGACCACCTAGGTCCAGTGCTGCCATCTGCTGGGTACCGACGCTGTTGAAGTAGGAATCGGCAGCGTTCACTGCCGCGTTCATGTCGCCTGGTGCCGGGGCTGCACCGTTTGCCGCTAAGGTAGGAGTAACGGGGGCAGCGGAGGACGGGCTAACTGGGTATTGCCAGGCATTGCTTCCATCGTCGTTCTGTGGTTTCTGTAAGGCAGGGCTGTATTGAAGTCGCCGTGTACGTGCGGAGCGGAACACTTGCTGGACTGGTTTTAGGTAAACAGTTGCGAGAGTACCGACGTTCAGGCAGAGCTCTTCTAAGGTTCGAGAGTCCAGCTTCTCGCTTTCTGCGCTGATCGGGGGCTTCTGGCCCATGACGACCTGTCGTGCGGTTGCAGGGTCTGTCGATAGGAGACGCCAGTACATGTAGCCTCTGTCTCGCAGGTCGGGGTCGTCTGTTTCCTCGGTACACCATTTCAATACTTGAGGCACCAACTGTTGGCCCTTTGTCGGGCGTTGAATAAAGAATTTGACGGTAGCCGTCAATAAGGCGAGTTGTACCTCAACCGTTTCGTCGTGGAAAGTGGCTAGGTAATCTTGTAGAAGCCCGTCTGAGTTTTCGATGCGGTCGGCATACTGTCCAATGATCCAGATAATGGCTGCCTTTGCTTCCGGTTCGTCCAGTTCATCTATGTTCTGAATGATACGGCCAATGATGCTTTCATACTGATTGGGGTACTTGCGGAAAATATTGCGAATGACGACAGTCGCCTCCTGGACAATGTATGGGATTTTAGCGTTGACCAATTCGAGAAGAGTATCGATGCATTCCTTCGCGGCCGACTCGATTTTAATCGCCAATTTTCCGATGGCGCGTACAGCTTTCCGAACGAAATGAACATCGATTTCAGTCGCATACCTACACATTTCTTAGTTGAGTATTTGAGTGTAGTGGGACCAGAACTTACTCTCTCAATTCTGCCAACACAACCGAGATGTTTTCCTTCGTCGTCAGCATGAATATTAATTCCAGCTTGGTCACTTTGACATAGATTGGATCGTTGTAGTTACAGAAGAAAACACGGATATCGTTTCGTAAAACTTCCGGCCTCTTCTGCAGTATCAGAATGGCATTTCGAAGCGCCAGGTACTGTACTTCAGGTGGTTTGGATAGTAGGGTGACAAGAGGTGGTGATAGCTTCTTGGCGAGGGAAGTGACATGCCTCTCATCGGCAATATAGTTCATGAGATACAGAATGACACGGATGGAAGTAAGAACAACCGCAGAGTTGGAATGGGACAGGCGAGGGGCTACTCGCTCTGCCAATAACAGCGCCTCTGCCGAATCCTGAGGGACATATGACATTAGGGCTTCAAGGATGTAGCTTTGGCCCCACCTGGAAAGCGTTAGGAGCATAAACAAATTCGTGAGGTAGAGATACGTACTCAGAGCAGTCAGGCAGGATCGAGACCAGTTTCGATGCACTTGTGTAGTCGATAGTCAGGGAGATAGTCTCACTTCGACCCCAGATATCTGTCAAAGACGCAAGCACACTAGATACGACCGTTGGGTTTTCGTCTTTTAACATGTGGTTCAATCTGTCAATCAGGTCGGAGCTCTCAACCATTTTCCTATCATGCTCATAGAGCTTTGCGACACAGAAAGCGGATGTCTTGCGGACATATGGATCCATATCACCCATTAAACGCTTGACAGGTTGAACAGTCGCCTCGACAAACTCCCGCACGTGGACGTATGAGATAGTCCGTAATGCCAGCGCTCGCACAAGTGGATTTGTATCTTCCATATCCTATAACGAACCGGTTAAGCTAACTTCGCTGTAAATATAAGGAATATATGGGCCCGTACGTTAACGAGAATAGGCAGGGCCTTCAAGGCAATGTCGGGTTTCATTCGCGAATAGTTGACTAAGAAGAGAAAGCACCTGCAACCGAATGCAAAAGAAGTATTAGCGATCGTTCTTCATCACAACATGTGCCAGCCTTTGTTCCAACGTACATCTTCTTGATTTCCAAGCTCGGCAGATTCATACAATCGATAACATCCGGAAACAGTGCCACCATGTCGTTATTGCTCATAGTCATGTTTGCGACAATCTTCTTGAGGGCGATCTTCTTCGCGGAGTAGTTCTTGTCCTTCTTGCCGCCGCTATGGAGTTCTTGTCGCAGCTCCGCGACTTTACCCTGTGAAGGCCGGGAAGATGGTAAGCCATGTTGTGTCGCATAAGGAATCACAGTAATAAACATGGGGTAGATTTTAAGTCCGACGAATGTGGGTTGGGAAGTCGTAGAACATGAGGAAATGGTACATTATAAACCACAGCGTGTGTCACAAAAGCTAGGGAAATATGAACGAGGGGACTGTGGTCCAGTCAAAGACTAGACCAAACCATATTCGAAGGTGGTTCGACCGATATGAGGGGATGAGGGGATGATGATAAGCAGTGGTTTGATAGCCGCCGATCGATGCGGTCTGAACCCCAACGATGCAGCAAAAACCAAGACAGACGTACCCTAGCGAACAGCTTTGCATCTCCTCCACCGGAGCTCATGATGGCGTTTCAGTCAGTAGAGGGGCTCCTCCCTGTTCCGTTGGGTGAAACGGGTTTTCCGCAGTAGATCGGTTCTTTTCGAATATCAAAATCGCATAAGATGTCGCAGAGGACGAAAATGGACACGATGGCGGAGCTAGAATAGCTTCGTAGAAATTCTTAGCTGATCTGTTGCTCCGATACCTCCATGCCTTTTCTCCTGTCTGGTAGACTTCAGTGGATTGTCAATGCGGCACGGGCGACATCCAAGGGGTCGTCTATGTGCCGGATCTGGTTAATGTGGTAAAAATTGACTGCTTCCCAGCCTCAAGAGCAGGTTAAAAGGAGAAGAAAGCATTTGACGGGGGGGGTGAAACCGTTCCACGATAGTTCGTTCTTTAGCAGGCGAGACTCAGGAGTGGATCGGCTGCCGCCAACTCCGCGCGCTTGTGGAGAAATTCCATTTACTGTGTCGGATCATCATCATCACCACTACTCAACTTCCTTCCTCCGCTCCGACAGTCTTCTCGCTTACTGTCTTGCCGCAACTCACCTCACACCTTGAATGAATTCTCTATAATACATTCCCTGTCGCTGCAGTTTCTTCCAACCTCTGACCTATTATGGCTACTGAACCACTCAACCCCGTCCCTCCACCGTACTGGGCCGTGGCCTTGAATTCCCCTGCGCCGCAACCTTCCAAGGCAGCATCCCGCATTCCCGACCCTCCAGGCTTCTCTAGCAGCAAAGCAGGAGGAAAGCATGTATGCCATTGCAGTTCACGCCACTTCTTTCAAGGTGAAACATGCTAACCAAACCGCGACTCACAGCGCAAGGAACAATCCACATCCACCGCCGCATCCAAATCCGAGGAAACCGATACGCTGAAGCTGAAGAAAGCATGGGAGATTGCCATGGCACCTTCGAAACAGATCCCCATGAATGCGATCATGATGTACATGTCCGGAAACAGCCTTCAGATCTTCAGTATTATGATGGTCTTCATGCTCTTCAAGGGACCAATCCAGGGCTTGATCAACACGAACACGGTCTTTGCAAAATTCGACACGGAATCTACACGGGGAAAGCTGCTTGGAGTGAAAGCTGTTTATGTTTTGATGCAATTCGTGCTACTGGCATTAGGGGTGTGGAAGGTTAATGCGATGGGTCTTCTACCGTATGTTACTGCCATTCCTTTTTCAATTCTTCCGTTCTTGCCAATTATCTACCCTATGGAAAACTAACATGGTTTCTTGAAACAGGACTACAAGGTCAGACTGGTTAGCTTGGGAGTCTGAACGGCAACCTCTAGAGAGAGCTTATTTTGCCTTAAGTTGATAGGCGACAAAGAACAACCGAAGAAAGTTAGATGAAGCACTGTTATGTGATGCAATTCAAGATATAATATAATATGTTGGAACACATATACAATTATCACATCCGCTGAAGGAGTGGCTATATTATTGCTCTCATATAGTGCCACCTTAGTCCGTACTATGCAATAGCAGCCCCAGATATTTGTCCTATTCGCCCGATACCGGATCACAGGAATTGTTTCGAGATCTGCTGAAGCTCCAGCCCAAGCTAACTGGAACTTCCTAGGACTGTTCTGCCAAAAGAAAGTTTGACCAGCGGCAAGGGGGAGTCTGCGCCAGCTTCTTACCTCAAGAGATAGGGCAAGAGAACATGGAGCAAGCTAGAACGTGGCAATGTCCTTCTCAGGTTGTAAGCCTGCAAGGATCGGATGTCAGCATGGTCTGATTCTAGAAGTTTCATTGCAGGTAGTCAAAGCAAAGTAAACGTAGTCATAATCGTGGGCTGAGTTCGCATATTTATCCAAACATCATAGCACCCATCCAATATATGTCCAAGAATTGCAGGTTAGAAACATTACTAAATCATGACATATTCGAACCCTTTACTTTCGAGCTCTCACTGCCTTTTGGCAAGCATCGAAGAAGATCTGGCAGAACTGCCACACGTCCGCATAGGTGTTATACAGAGGCGCTGGCGCAACCCGAATGACATCCGGCTTTCTCTCATCGATAACTATTCCATTCTCCTCCAGGACTTCTAGGACGCTGTCTAGAAGGCCTGGGCCTAAGCGCAGACTTAGCTGTGCACCTCGCTCGGCCGGATTTGAGGGTGTAATGATAGAGAACGGTTTGTCCTCCAGGGCAGCATCGAGAGGATATTTCAAAAGGAGATGTTCTAAGTAACCCGTGAGGTCCAAAGACTTTTTACGGATCTCAGCCATTGACGTGCGATTGAATAACTCGAGGGACGCCACCACTGCGTTCATATCCAAGACAGATGGGTTCGATAATTGGAATCCAGCTGCGCCTGGTTGCGGCACGAACCCTGCAAGCCAGATCAGTTAAGAGCTTGAAGTTAGCGAATACAAGTGGCCCATACTATTTTCCATCCGGAACCGTGTTTTCTTGTTGTCACCCCACCAGCCAGACAACCGCGGACGAAAAGGCTCATCCTTGGAACCAACCTTGGTCATATCTACTCGCCCATGGTTCTCATGGACGAACAGTCCAGCCATTCCTCCCGGTCCACTGTTAAGATACTTGTAGTTGCACCAGGCCGCGAAGTCCACATTCCAATCGTGTAATTTCAAATCGACGTTTCCTGCAGCATGGGCACAGTCCCAACCGATTATGATACCCTTGGAATGGGCATGGGCCGTGATCTTCTCGATATCGAAATACTGTCCAGTATAGAATTGTATACCAGAGAGGAGTATAAGGGCTGTACTCGAGGCATGTTCATCGATCATCTGCAGGATTTTCTCGGTGTTTAAGATTGGACGATCGAGGTTGTCGGGTTCGATAAGGACCATAGCATCTTTCGGGTCGAGATTATGGTGCTGGATCTGAGATTCCACGGCATACTGATTCGCGACGGCATTAGCACTATTATTTGCGACATTGTTAAGCGGTAGTGAAGGATAGGAACTTACATGGTCACTTGGGAATGCCTTGCCCTCGATAATGATCTTATACTTCTCTTTAGTTGGTTGGTAGAAGCTCGCCATTAGAAAATGCAAGTTCGCAGTTAACGTGCCCATTACCGCCACCTCGCTTTCGAGCGCTCCCACAATGGGGGCCATGAGCTTTGCTCCGGCTTCGTCGACATCGACGAACGGGGGAAGCAGCTGGTCGTCATGTGGTGTAAAGTGGCCAGTAACGCCTTTAATTGCCCAGGTCCGTAAATAGTGCTCGAGATATTTCCGGGTGTTCCGAGGCTGAAGACCTAGGGAATTTCCGCAGAGATAAATACTTCTGGGGTCGGAGGAGTCCTCAATATCTATGTTGAGATAACAATTGGTCAGCGACATAGTGCACTAGCGGGGGTTGGGAAAAGAGGACGTACTCTCGTTGACATTCAGAGTCTTTCGCTCCAGGTCTTTCTTCGATGGAATGATGAATTCGTCTCGGAAATGACGGAGAGGATCTTGTGCGTCGAGGGACTCGGCGTACTCTCGCGTGAAAGCTCTGATATCATCTTTGTAGGGAAGTGGGGGGCCTTTTTTGATCTCTTGAACGTGGAGTCGGGATCCCATGTTGTGTTGGAAAGGGACAACCTGGCTGAGGTATATAATATATTGCGAGTTCTCCAAGAACCAAAGAATAAGACGCCCAATGCAATAAGTAATATGAGTAAAATGAAGTGAGATATCATTCAAGTTGGCAAGTACCATGATCAAAGCTCAACCCCGCGATGCATTTCGAAAAATGACCCACCAGAATCAAATCTCTTGTCGGATTGGCTCAATACCTCCGTACCAAGAGACCTGATAGGCACAGGACACTATCGAGCACTGGTTAGTTCCAGCTGTTGAATTCCTTATTATCTCAAGTGCCAGATTACTCCAGTCTTTTTTCCCTCTTCGATTCATTGGCTACCTAGTTATGCATGATACTAGTGGCATTCATTCAACTTCGAGTCTGGTTACTCTGTCAATGACAATACCGTCTAGCCAATCAAAGATGATCAACAATAAAGCCAAAGCGCTTCTCATCCATAATCTATTGGCCATCCGTTAGACTTCTATATAAGCCCGTGGCCTCTGGTCTTCGTCAGAAATATAGACCGGATACTTGTGTACAGGGAAAAAATGGTTCCCCTACTGTTTCTCGCCATTCTCGGCAGGAGAGAACACCCTCATGGCTGGGGTTAAAATAGCCTTTTGGGGGGGTTCCAGGAGGCTGGTTGCATATCTACCTCAATCGGAGTAACTCTTATCCCGCATATGGGACGATAGAACATCTCTAAATGTGTCTTAATTGCCTGAAACTTGCTCAAGGGGACGTCTTGTAGGCAAACCTAGCGTAACGACTCGATCAATGTACGAAAAGAATTACATATCTTTTTCGGAATGCGAATGGATACAAGAAACCCGCTTGAAAAGAACTCTTCACGAAATACTAAGGCATAGTCAGTAAAGGCAGTGAGTAGGCTGAATTAACTGGGTAGGTATAAAACCTGTCAGTGAAACTGCATTTTCCATGTACTTCTAATTCAAAGCCTTTGTCGCTTGCATTTCCTCTAAGCATCTGCCTTAGGGCTAATCTCGTTAGCAGTAAGCAAGCCGTCTATAGATAAGATGTAACCCTCCTTGCTTGAATAGTTATTAGACCTGGAACAAGGTTTGGAAGTCTAAAAAAGACATTGGGCACATTCGAAACAGGAGGGGAACAAAATTAAATTTAGTTGAAAAGTCTTTCGAGATACTCGGTGCAATTTCCTCGGCCTCTTTGCGGTACGAGATAGACTGCTAAACAAAGAGGGGGCAAAGGATGATTTCATTAATTTAAATTAGACCTTGTAAAACAGGGGCACAAACAGGAAACCAAGCAGAGTTGAGAAATTTTTTTGCATCCCAAAAAACTCCGAAAAATCACCTCAACAAAATATTGGCAGGCATCAAGGGTCTGGTTCCCTGTCATAGCAAAAGTCCATTAAGCTCACGACCACATTGGAATGATGCAAAGCTTGTGAAGATCCACTTCCACGCCAACAATAACGTCATCCTTTGCCGCTTCGAGATCGGGCTGGTGCTCTTTCAACCCCCTTTGCGTGAAGACTTCGATCCTAACATATCTAATTCTTTGTCTGAGCTGCATATGCATCGGCAGGACCAAGCTATTACCTGCGGTGTCTCCCAGGATGCGCGGGATCGAGATGACACTTCTCACCGACTAGAGTCTGGCATCATGCTGTTTAGAAGCAGATCGTTGCTCGGTGGGTCCCTGCAGTCTCGTGCTCGACTTGGCTGCGACTACAGATGACTGGTCGACAATCAATTAACAGGCTTACATCACAGTATATGCCGCTCATGAGTTTCGAGCTACTCCGTAGTGATCGTAAAACCCTATGGATAGAAGGGCCTGAGAACACCAATGTAGGCACCGGAATTATTGTGATCATAACATTTTATAGTGAGCTTCTGGCTCATGCCGACTAGACCGAGGTCATGTGATGCCGATGAATCTCTTCTCGTTTCGGTAAGATATTCATGCAGGGTGCGGGAATCGTGTGACCTAAAGCAGGATAACCTACAAGTATACATAACAACACACATACGTCGATGATAGCGCAGAAGGATGCATATTGAAGCATGGGAGGAGAATTAAAATGAAGTGGGACGGCAAAGGCTCCAAATATTTACGTTCAAAGTACTCCGTACAGTACGTACCAATTCGCCAGACGGTTGCCACTAAGCTACCTAGTTTTCAATGGTCTAGCTAAGCCCTTGGTTTCTGTGCCATGCTACCAACCACGAGAATCGCGAAAAGGGCAAAGCTTGCTATGTATTAGGTTGAGGCTCCACGGCGAATGATATCGCGTGGTCTGCTATTATAGTTAAGAGGCTCTCGCGTGATGTTCAGATTTTGGACCCAGGTCTCGGGTCGCCGGCTGACAACCGCCGAGCTTGTTCGCCACTTTTTATGTCACTCGTGGATCGGTGGCCCCTGGTTTGACGTCTCCAGGGTAGGTTAAGAGGGTCAAGAAGAAAGCTCCTGACGTAGCAACCCTGCAAATTCCTATGTGGGGATTGAATATACTTACAGTACAGCAACTAACCCTGATAAGACATGACAATTGGGAGTGGGCATCCATTGAGAACGTTCGCCTCCCGCCTGCAGATCGGTTGGGTTGATGTAAGATCGACATCGACATTGCAAAGGCCAAGCATATGGATAACTAGTTATTGCGTGGGCAGAGTTAGTAAGACTATGAAATGACTGAATCTTAACGTCGGGATTTGTGTGGGTAGGACAAAGGAGAGATGGAAGTCTGGCAAACTCTCATCGTTCGAGGATCGGCCATCCGGTGATCTTTTCCGCCTATTGTATTGGTTATAGTTTTCAATTAGACTGGGGCGTTCTCATGGAATCGTCCTATCACAATTCTCCTTGCTTGGTTGCCAGTCAGGTGCCGGTTGTCCCAAACCTGTTGAGTCCGTTGTTTGCTGAGTTTAGTTGCACATATTATACAAGCATCTGGTAATCAGTCGCATGTACGCTCCATTCCCGGATACGCGTGTCCCCAATAGAAGCGCGCCAACGGGAGATCCAAAGTAGCGTAAGGTACGTATGCTCAACAATGCAAGAGGCTAAATCAGTCGTCCATCCCTAAGTGATCAAGTCATAATTACATAGGTTGGGTACTCCGATACGCTGAAACGACGCCACCCGAATCGAGTGCACCCATCTACCGGGTACCTCCTTGGTGATTTTGGGGACGGAGTTTGAAGGATTCTTGATGTCAAAGCCAAGAATGAAGGAGGACGGGTTGACAAGTACCCACTTAATGCCTCCCTGTCCAATAGACCAGGCATAGGACTTACTGCCCCAACGGGCTGCATGTGCATCGTCGGAAGCCGTGGTCCGGAACTTCCTATAGAGTGCATAGGAAGAGAGGTTGTTTGTAAATTGCTGATCAGGAACCTCAAGCCACGGCAGAATCCCGTGCATGGGCAGGCTCTGCCCACGAGTCAGTGATCTAGCCTAAGCCCACAGGAACCAGTTTTCATATCTGCGTACATCCAAGCGCCATTCAGCTTGGTACCATGGGTCTTAGTCACAGTTCCAGACTGCCTGACAACAGCTGTATCGAGGCATTGCTGCAGCCATTTAAGAGTAAGGAAAGGGGCCTGTTTCACATACCACCATTTCTAAATCAATCATCTTTGCCTTGGGGCCTTTTTTTTCCCTGGTCACCATTTCCCCTGCAGAGGTACACCTTGGGTCATTTGCAATCGATGTTTCTTATTGTAATATGCACCTGAAAACCTTCCCATCGAATCTGATCCCTTAGGTACGGGAGACGCAGTCTCATAGCAATCACCGACCGCTAGGGATATCACAACCGCCGTAACGAGACATGGCTCCCATGCGAAGCGCCCAAAAATCACATCGACATCTCGGAAGGCGTTGAACCACTGTGAAAGGAGCTAAGGCTAGAGCTGGTGGGGTCCTCTTAAAGCCATAACAACTTTGATGTTGCCCAACTCTGCGAACATTCCTGCCGGGTCAAAAATCTAAAAATAAGGCTGCCGTCCGTTTCGATTCTTCCGGTGTCCCTTTAGCTGGATACACCGCAGAATAGGCAGACTGGAAATTATACTTTAGCAATGATCTTCTCCTTCTCTTGGGAGAGTAAATGTGCGGCTTAAGATGACTTCCGAGGACCATCTTCCAGCGCTCGCTCCAGGGCCTCGCGGCCCCGTCAACAAACAACCATTCACTCTCATGAAGCCGAGGAAAAATTCCACGGCCTGCCTGCCATGTAAGCAAGCGAAACGGAAGGTAAGACGACCTTGAAACTCCACCCCTGCATTCAAGAATGCGAACAATGCCCCAGATCAACCAATTTTGGAAAAAGATCATATTCTTCATTTCTGTTCGCCCCCTCAACAGACATCCCACTGACGTCTCTTCTCCACATGGCAGTGCACCGGACGCCCCGCACCTTGTAAAGCCTGTCAGGGCACAGACGCTGAATGCGTTTTCGATGAGACGCTCGACCTCAGGCGTAAGGTCGCTGCTAGACGTACTCTCGGCGAGCTGGAATACTATCGAGGCTTGTTGTATTCCTTGCTAGAGTCACTTCGCTCTTCAGATGAAGACAAAGTGAATCATATCTTGGAGACTATACGCGGCAGCGCTCTACTATCCAATGTTGCCAATGTTGTGGATGCACCAGCTGATTTAAGTGATGCGAGTTCCGATAACGCCAAACCCCTGGGAAACACAGATGACGCTATAGCTCAACAGGAACGTTTGGCTGCTAATGCCCACTCTCGAATAACCCTAGAGAAACTTTGTGACATCCCCATATTCCAAGTGCCGGTCAAGCCTTGGACGGCCGTTACCGACGACGGTCATCTCGTTTCGCATTTGATCTCCTTGTACTTCACATGGGATCATCCATTGTCGCAAATCGTTGATCAGAGAGTGTTTTTGAGACATATGAGGGAGGGCAATAAGAATACGGAATTCTGCACCCCTTTCCTTGTAAATAGCATGTTAGCAATTGCAAGTGTATGTATAGCGCTTCTACATGGTGCTTTCATGTTGACCTGATCAGCGGTCTATTCTAACTTTGATAAGACATATTCTGATTTTCCTGAAGTTTTTGCTGTCCCCGGAGATGTGGCCTCCAAAGGCGCATATTTCTTTAATGAAGCAGAACTCTTATGGAAAGCGGAAGAAGGTCGTCCATCGTTGGCCAACATCCAGGCTCTTGCTCTGATGAGCCATGTGTATGTGTGACCATCGTCCGATGTCATTCATATGCTGTGGCGGCCCAACTGACAGTTTGCAGGCTGAAATTGAAAGGAAAGCCCGATGCTAGCTGGCTGCTGTTAAGGCAAGCCGTGCAGCTTGGACAAGATATCGGGTTCTTTCAAGCCCCGAGGACAGGGCACCGCAAATGGAGAGACACATCTGTTGATATGCGATCTGCTGGAGCAGCGACTGCTTGGGGACTATTCATTCTCAATTCGTACAGTATTTAGGTGACCCGGGCATATTCCTTGAGTTGGCTGACCGTTCTCTTCAGACAAATATCTATAGAATGTCGGAAAACCGCGAACCTAAAACCACCAATATTCGAGCCTCCTGGGAGAGATAACGTCGGTGACGACATTGTATGGATCCCATATCCTCGTTCCAACCATATTGAATACGAGAAGAAGCCTGCCTTACTCCGTGAGATAATGATCCAAACGGTGGACTTCACGGAACTTGTCGTCAACATGCAAGATTTGCTTTTTGATGGGGCATTCGATATGAATGTTGGCGACCTATGTAGGGCGGTAGGCGCTGTGTACACTCGCCTAGAAACGTGGCTGAGAGGCCTGCCCGGTCCACTGAAAATTGACAAGGAGACTGTACAAGTTCCGCAAGTATTGAGTTTGCAGTAAGAGCAAAGTGTCCATCCGGCTAACCGATTACTAAATATTGACTGTAACTGTTGTAGTATCAGATACCACCATGCCATCATCCTGCTCTTCGATTTTCTAGTGAACCACGAAGACTTTGCCCCTATGTTTCTTCCGTCTGATGTTAGCCAGGCTCGATTGATCCGACTTCAGTCAGCGAAGCAGATTGCGGACTATCTCCTCCTATACCATGAAGCCTATGGGCTTAGACATGTTCCCAGCCAGATGCTGGAGCCTGCCAATGCAAGCTCCCTTATCCTACTCACTGCTTTGGACGACTGCGAAGATGATTTCAAAGAGGAATTTGTTGAATTATGTCGGTTTCTAGTGGCCTTCAGCAAGAGATTCTCCCTCGCTAGAGATATGCTCGCGAATATAGAATCCACAGCCAAGTCCATGGGAATCAAACTACCCCCCGAAGCTGGTACAGTGTTCGACCACAGGAATTTGGAATCTTCCCAGTGGCTCTAACCCGGGCTTGCACGGTATGTATATCAACTCCGGAGCATAACAATCAGCCAGCGGCTTACTTGGCGACTATGTACAGAATGTGGGATTGCTTCTTGCGATACCAAGGGAAAGCGTAAAGCACGAGGGAGCGGTGAAGGGAACCAGTATGTCGGTCGAACAAGGTGCGTATGTATATACACCATGCAAAAGCATCTTGTGTGAAATTAACATTCCATTCCGATCATCCTGATGCGACACATAAGGCTCGGTGGTTCTCCATTATGGTTGACTACCTGCAGGCAGTGGCAACTATCTCTGTGAGAAAGAAGGGGGATCAGACAGTAAGGGGACGTGTTTCTTCCATAAGATTGGAAAACTGTTGGCAGACTTCTCTATGGTGTACTTCTTTTGTTGGCATGCGTATTGTTGAAATTGAAATCAAGAGTGTTCGGATGAAGAAAAGGGAGGGATACGAAGAGAGGGACAAGTTTGGAGAAGAAAGAGCCTCGTCACGGGTCTATGAGCCTAGATGGAGAAGAGCTCGGCTGGATGAGTTTTCCGGGACCACGCCATTGGACAACTCTATTCCATAACCTTGATTCATGATCCCCAATGCGGAGAGTAGCCCTTGTTGTCTTTTGTAGGTAAGGGCCAGCAAATCTGACTAGGTTGCTTTCTAATTGACCTTAGTGTTGAACCGACGATCTTCTAACCTAACCCATGGCATCCCCAGTCGCAGGCTGGCCAGCATGCGACTGCATCTTACCTTACTTCCGACATGACAACAATCCTATCAGGTGATCAACAGCATGTTTGTCGTCGATATATTGACGTTTCTGGGCCCGCACGAAAGGTCGAAACCAACCCACCCAGCAGTATTTTATAAGCATTTAGTTGCCTCCTTAGAGCCCCGAGCTTGTCGTCTTTTTTAAGGTATCATTGACCGATTATCATGTGGACGGCAAGCTGTTGGCTAGAGGCTTTTAAGATACAGTGGCCAAAAACCAGGCTCGCTTTGGGGTTTGTTAGTTCATTGTCTAGGGCAGAATTGGTTTCCGATGAAAAATCCCTAGGATACCTTGCATAACTACCAAAGATTAATTCAATATCATTCTAATTAGTCACCCAAAAAGAAAAACGAGATAGAGAGTTTTTCGGAGTAATTGTAGACTGTCAGAGTATGACGCGAGAGTTGATACGAAGGATTTGTGTTTCTTTTTCCCTAATTTCTTTTCCAATCTATCCATAAATCCAAGAGAATATTGCAAGCCTTTGGATGGCTGTCAGTGTCAGTTGCAGGTTCAGAGCTTTCAAAGTTTCTATACGTCGTGACCCTGCTAGTTTTGTTTCCATAAAGGACGAGCAGTGCATAGATGACTCATCGGTTCCGTTATGCGCAGATAAGATAAGCACAAATCGGGGCCAAGCGAAAACCCTCAAAATTCAACTGCCGCCGAAACAATCGAAATCCCACACGCCGACGCCGAGCAGTTCCCGCCAGACGACGTGCCCTCTACCTCTCGCCCTACCCTCAGTCGACCGTTTGCTGGATCATCCCCGTTCTCTCCGCAGACTTTTTACTTGTCAACATGTCGTACGAAGAGCGCGCCAATGCGCACCCTAACCTGGGCGACGAGTCCGATGTTGAGGAGGAAGCACTCGTCAACGATTACCGCGAGCAGGTCAACTTCGAAGATGGCATGAGCGAACTGGACCGGACTACATCCCTTGGAACTGGCTCGCAGACGCAAGATCTCCAGGCACAGCTCGCCGCTGCTGCGACCCCGCTTGAATACCAGGCCACACTGGAGACCAAGTTTGCAAGCTATGACAACTACTGCAGCCTTTTCCACTACATCCTCAACTCGGATGGCCCTGTTGAACTGGAGGTCCCTTCTGTATGTACTCGCTCGCCAGCTTGACATCCTTGGAGGTTACATGTGTTCTGCTCTCTGCATATCCCGTGCCCCCACCCACTGTGTGCGCCAAGCCCGTTCTTATACAGCCTGCTAACGAATATCTTCCTTTCAACAGTACTACTGGGCTTGGGATGTGATCGATGAATTTATCTACCAGTTCGAATCGTTCTGCCGTTACCGCAACCGTGTCGCTCGTAGCGGCTCTAACGAGGAAGAGGCCCAGCTTTTGCGTGAGAACCCAAACACATGGGGTTGTTACTCCGTGCTCAACGTTCTTTACTCCCTTATCCAGAGGTCCCAGATCAACGAGCAATTGGCTGCTATCAAGCGTGGAGAAGACCCCTTGGCGTTCGCTGGGGAGTATGGCTCTCGTCCTCTCTACAAGATGCTCGGATACTTCTCGATCATCGGACTTCTCCGTGTCCACTGCTTGCTGGGTGACTTTAGCCTTGCCCTCAAGACCCTTGACGACATCGAAATGAACAAGAAGGCTATGTTCGCTCGTGTCATGGCAGCTCACTTCACCACCTACTACTATGTGGGTTTCTCCTACATGATGATGCGCCGTTACGGTGATGCCATCCGCATGTTCAGCCACATCCTGGTCTACGTCTCCCGGACCAAGAACTTCCAAAAGGGTGGCAACAGCTACGACGCTATCGCCAAGAAGAACGACCAGATGTATGCTCTCATTGCCATCTGTGTTGCCCTCCACCCCACCCGTCTCGACGACACCATCCACTCCGCTCTCCGCGAGAAGTACGGCGAGCAGCTCCACCGTCTCCAGCACGGTGGCCCCGAGGCCCTCCCCCTGTTTGAGGAGCTCTTCCGTTCCGCTTGCCCCAAGTTCATCAGCCCCACTCCCCCCGACTTCGACAACCCATCTGTCAACATCGACCCCGTCGATCACCACACGGCTATCTTCATGGATGAGGTCAAGAACACGCTGTACAACCCTACCATCCGTTCTTACCTGAAGCTGTACACCACGATGGACCTGCAGAAGCTGGCCGGCTTCCTGGAAGTCGAGCCCGAGAAGCTCCGCTCCTGGCTATTGGTGAACAAGCAGCGCAGCCGCCAAGTCCGCTGGGTTGAGGGCGGTTTGCTGGAGGGTGAGCCCGTCGCCGCCAACGACCTGGACTACGCTCTGGAGAACGACCTGATCCACGTCAGCGAGACCAAGGCCGGCCGTCGCCTGGTGGACTGGTACCTTCGGAACCTCGCCCGCGTCTACTAGAGCGTCCGACCCCTTGTCAAGGAAACAGGCGACAACGCACTCAAATATTGAGATACGTGCTATGTTCCCGACTGCGCACATACAGAGGTACCCTTCGATAGCACAGGGCCCCTCCGACCAAACCGCAGATAGGAGAGGAGAAAAAAAAAGAGAGGCAGAACCCGGGGAAGTAGGCGTGAAAGGACAAACGGTTGTGAAGAAGTGCAGTGGGGAAGTTAAAATTCATCCCATAATCTCACCTCTCAGTCCCCAGCAATATCATGAATTATCTTTTGTTTCCCTTGTTTTACCCTTTCCCTTCTTATTTTTTTTCTTTCGTTGTTCATGTTTTCATCAGGGTTGCAACCTTGGACTCTACTCTGATTACGGGTTTGGGGTGGTTACAAAAGTCTCGAGGCTTGTTTGGGGCGTATTCGATGCTTAACTATACTTGGTTTGCTTACTGTTCATGTTCGAGATGTTTGATCTGTGCATAACCTAGCATGCACAACAACACGCTAAATAGCAGAGGACAAATGTGGTAGGAATTCGCATGATGAAATAGATGATGACAATTTTCCAATTCACTTTAAACCTCACCAACACCATTACAAGAAGAAAGAGCAGGAAGGTAAGGAGAAGGGGAAGGGGGGTATAGTAAAGGTTACTCTATCTCCAGATGCAAAAGTATAATATACAAATACAAGATGCCATCGCCCTCCATTTAATCAGTCACATCAAAGCTAGTTCCACAGCCACAGTTACTCGTCGCCCGGGGATTATCAACAATCTTAAACTGACTGCCGATCAACTCCATAGTGTAGTCCACTGTACTTCCGTACAGGAGCTCCAAAGAGGGCTCGTCCATGACCACCTTGGCCTGGCCGGCGGCCTCAGCCGATGCTTCCTCAGGGGAGTATTCTGCTTCGAAAACGGTGTCTTCTTCCAGGTCGATCTTCGAAGCAGCCTCCAGGGACATCATGTACTGGAATCCGTGGCAGCCTCCACTGGTAACAGTGATACGGAGATGGTGGTATGGGTTCTCATCCTTAAGGACAGATGGAGACGATGTGGGATCGGTGACTTCGCGGAGACGCTGGGGAAATCAATTAGCATCATATGCAATCCTTCCGGCCAATTCAAGGTGCTAGAGGGAAACCAAAAAGAGAAGATAAAAAAGAAAGAGAAAGGAAGAAGAAAAAACATACAACAGGAGGGATTCGCTGGTGGTCACCCACCCAACTACTAACCTCCCGGCGTGTGGCTTAAGTACGGCTGAGCGGACGGGAAGCCCTGTTTTCCACACCCTATGGTCGTATGTACTTATCAGACGATTGATTAGGAGTTTTAGCCCCCGAAGCGCTTAGTACACCCTCCGCTCAGTCGCAAAACTCCAGCATCATTTGTCACAACCAGGAGCTACTCCCGTCCAGCCCAACGCCAAGTCACGCCACAACTAGAAGAAACACAAGATATAACGGATAAATAGCGAGAGGAACAGCGAGATGAACGTACTTCTGCAGCGCGGGGCGAGATTTCAATCGTTAGTGGGTTGCCATCTTCGCCGGTTCTCGGGTTCTGTAAGACCTTGGTGGCGGGTCTGATGGAGGTGGACGAAAAGGCGCAACACTGTTGGAGACGCACGATTGCGGGGGGGATTCTCCGTGGGGAAGAGGTCTGGTGTGTCTTCAACTCGCAGATGGCGTAAGATATCGACCGGCGGGGGGTAGAACCACTGAACGATGCGGAGATGCTCGATCGGGGTTTTGAGAATGGGAAGGCTGGGACCCCTGTGCGAGGGGAGCGCTGCCGCCATAGCTGGCGGGTAGCAGACGATAGCATCGAGCGAGACATTATCGGAACCCAAGAAATCCAGAGGGCAAGGTTGTGTTTGTAGAAATCAAATGCTATGTTAAATGAGTTTCTTGCGGATTTGATTATCGATCAGTCGTTAGTCATATGGTTCCGCATGACGTTATTGGTCGATCAGGTACCGGTTGTTCGGGTGTCGGAGTTACTGAGTGGCCATCCGGAGATATTTTCGATCTTCTAACTTGATGGGAATTGAGCCATCCTTGAGGTCTTGGAAAGTCCATAAGTCATTGGTCATACAGTATACTAAACCAATGCTTCAGTGAGTCACCTATCTATCCGTGGCACCTTATGTAACAGACACACATCTACATACAGTGTTTGAGGTATTTGTGAACCTACTGCTATATATATACTAGCAGTGTCGAAAATACCAAATACGTCTACCTTAGAAGGAGCATCTACTGAAAACCGCTGGACCTGGTTGACATCTATGAAGTGTTTGAACTCTTTCTTCCTTGGGAGCTGTACGGAACGGATATGCCACAGTAGTGATCTCCCCCAGACACTGAAACAGCGACTTTCTGCGTTTCTGTGGTGATATTTTCCCCAGGAGTGCTGCAGAAAGGGGCTAAAGATGGACACGCGTGCTTCTGCTTAGTGTCTTATGGCTGAGCCGATGTCACCAATTGCACGCTTTACCATACCCTGTCATCGGCTATTATCACTAAGTGACATCGAGGATCTGACAACCTCAGCCCAGCATGGCGTGAGATACCGGGCAGAGCCAATGATGCACCCTTGGATTAGTAGCACGAGGATCATGAGTATCTTTTGCGAGATTAGAAAGGGGGAAAATTTATATGATTGAATTGGTCATTTCCTGGCCTTCAACCAATCCTAACTACCTCAGGTCTAGAAGCAGAACCATCTACCCTCTGAGTTAAAAGGTCAGAGGGCATAATGGTTTTCTTCAAGATGTCTCAGTTTATGTCGAGTGCACTGATGGCTATGTATCTCGGATCAAGCATAAGGTAAGGCCCGTTCCCGTTATTCTTCGGGGTCTGGAATCTGGGGTGCTCTAAGCCAATTAATCAAAGCCCTAATGACCGGTTGACCGACACCGTCAACCTATAGCCTCAAAAACAACTAGAAGATTTTGAATCATAGATTACCAAGCAATTAAATCTAGTGGCACTATACCATTCAACACGTGAAAGACATCAAGAGAGCTAAATCGGGCTCTGCTAATCATGATCCTTTCTGCAACACTCGAATAAGGCAGCCCAGCTCTACCATGGCTCCCTCCCCACCTCCCCTCTACGATCTTCCATTTGACAAGCTTCCAAATCCCCGCCGGATCTGGATAGGAGAGCCAGGTAGCGATGAAGAAAGCATAGGGAGATTATCTCTGCTCACTCCTGAACGCGTCGCCAATGCCGCCGCCCGTGAAATCAAGACCGGGAAGCGAGTCACCTTGCAATAGAACATGTCCAAACCAGAGATCACTGCATTTGGAAGATCAAAAGCGCAGCATCATATTCTGCCTTTGATGGGTGGAATATACTTTGACGATATGTATATTTTCAACCATTGTGAGTATCTACCGCGGTATTCTTATCGACTATGCATCCTATTCTGATACGAAAGGCCTAGAATTTAACAGCTTCTCTTCTCACGAGATCAAGTTGGCTGAGATCCAAGGTATTGTCAAAGAATGCAAAATCATCATCCAGAAAGGAGACTTACTTTTCTTGCGTGTTGGAATCACCCGTGACTGGGACAACAAGATGTCTTTCGCTGAGAAGACAGAATACACTATCAAGGCGGTCCCTGGGCTGGCCGGCGTGGAACCTACTGTCGACATATTGTGCTGGATATAGGATTCCGGATTTGCTGCTGTTGCAGGGGGATTGTTTGACCTTGAGACGTTGGCGGAGAAGTATAAGGAGTTAAACCGGTGATCGTTTTTCGTTACTTCGGTACCGTTGAACCAGAAGGGAGGTGTATCTTCTCCTCCTAGTACAATGGTCATTTTCTAGACAGGTTTCCATAAGTCTCTCCAGTAACACTTGATTTCAGGTCATTGACATTTGCCCTATATTGAGATAAACAAAAATCCATGATCTGTATGGACCTGTGCTTCTAACCCAAACGGTTGTCAAAAAAACCTTAACCTTGAGAAGTAGCACGAAAGGGTGGTGTCGGTTTTCTATCACAGTTTTAGTGAGTTAGTTAGTACTCAGCAGTCGGTGAGGCCGAGGGATCAAAACCCAATTAAAGCGGCATAACTGTATGCGACCTTAGCGCAGCTTGGTTCCCTGTCGCATATCTCTTATCTTAGCTCACAACCATAAATGTGGTCTATTCGTGGTATGGTATGATGCCAAGGCGTTAGATGGCGTTCCTCCAGCCTTTGCCACCCCTGCAGAAGCAGCCTCCCCGTGCATCCTTCTTGGGTGTCAGCATTTTGCACTTTCCAACTTGAAATTCTCCATACCCTCCACCTTGTATATTCCCATTTAGAGGCGCTTCATCCATTGTAGAGACAAATCCAGGCCGATAACGATCCGGTGATTCACCGCCTCCGGCTAGCATCGGCTTTGTGATAGAGGGGCAAAGGCGGTGGGGTGATTGATATGGTAATAAAGCGTTTTCTGCACATTGAAAAGTGAACAGAAGATAGCGGGGAGGGACCAAGTTCGGTCAAAAGGACAGTCTCATTCGACAATTCGTTGTATGGACCCAGTAGTCAATGGCAATCGAATCCTGTCAGACAGTCCCAGGGGCAAAAGGTCCTCTGGTAGCTCGGATATCGATGGCAACGTTCCGAACATTTGAGTCGGGCCCAAGGAAAAAATCTTTTCTTGCGCCCTATGACATGGAACCTTAAAAGAAGCTAAGAGAAGTCATTAGAGAGTATTGATTTCTTTTCTCCTATATATATCCGTTTCAATCAGTATTTATATCACGCATTGTCCGCAGCCTGCAGACTTCAGAGACCTGCCCCGATCTCGCACCTAAGAAAAGCGCACGAGTGTTTCGTGACTCACACCACACGGGTTATAACTCCGTACCCACGCCAGATCTTCATTCCTCAAACCCAAGTTCAGACACTTGAATCGTACAAACATCCATCATGGGTTCCGTTGCTCACTCTGTGGCAGAGCTTGATGCCTCTGTGGTCAAGATCACTCGGTCGACAAATCTCCGCCCAGTTCCTGAACCGGGCTCGCCCGAGGAACTGAGCCATTCGCACTGTACTGATCATATGGTCACTGCCCGGTGGACTGTGGCCAATGGCTGGGAAACCCCCGAAGTGAAGCCCTTTGAGAACCTTAGCATTCCTCCCACAGCGTCTTGCCTGCACTATGCCACCGAATGCTTCGAGGGGATGAAGGTGTACAGAGGATTTGATGGCAAACTGCGCTTGTTCCGCCCTGATTGCAACGGGGAGAGATTGCTCATGAGTGCTCAGAGAACCTCTTTGCCCAGCTTCCGGTATGAGGAGCTGAAGGTTCTCATCGCCAAGTTGATGCAGATCGATGGACCCCGTATGTGACCCCGTACTAGTATCTGTTACCTTAGCTAACCCAGTTACCTACAGGTTGGCTCCCCAAGGATCAACCTGGTCGTTTCCTCTATCTCCGTCCCACATTGATTGGCAGCGGCCCTCATCTGGGTGTTCAGACTCCCAAGGAAGCCCTCCTTTTCATCATCGCCGTGCCATGGCCTGACCCGTCCAAGTTGAAGAAGCCCGAAGAAGGCACCAAACCCGGATTGAAGCTTCTTGCCTCTTCACCCGATTCTATCCGTGCCTGGCCAGGTGGTTTCGGCTATGCAAAGCTCGGAGCGAACTACGGTCCTTCGTTGGTCGCACACGGTAAAGCTCAAGCCCTTGGCTTTGATCAGATTCTTTGGCTGTTTGGTCAGGACCGTCAGGTGACCGAGGCCGGTGCTAGCAACTTCTTCATTGTTTGGGAGAACAAGGAAACAGGAAAGATCGAGCTTGTCACTGCACCCCTGGAAAACCAGTTGATTCTTCCAGGTGTTACTCGCCGTAGTGTTCTCCACCTGGCACGCTCAGAGCTGTCAAAGCCTATTGGCTCCCTTGCCCCGGTTGAGGTCGTTGAAAGGGACTTCACCATTAGCGAGATTGAAGAGGCTTGGAAGGAGGGCCGCATCATCGAAGCTTTCGTCTGTGGTACTGCCGTAAGTTTCACTACATCAATCATTTTTAGCAATGGCATGCTAACAATCGGGCAGTTCTTTGTTACGCCAGTTCAGCTTATCCGGAACGGTGACGTCGATATGGACATGCTGGAAGCTGGTGCAGCCCGTGGAGGATATGCAGCCCAGATCAAGTCTTGGTTGGAGGCCATCATGTACGGTAAGGATGGCAAGGAGAATGATGAATGGTCTTACATCATTGAGGGAGAGAGTGAAAAATAAGGGAGAACGAAAAGTTCTGATCATGGACCTGATGAATACAGTAATGAGAGGTCGAGGCGGGGTTGGTTGCATTGTACATAACATGATGGCCTGCATGTCACGGGGTCAAAGATCCTTGCATAGATCATAGATTTCAATTGAGCGTTCCTTTTTGTCTCTGTCTTTGTCTTTGCTTCCACAATTCAGTTTGCCAGTGATGGGAGAAATAACAATATCTCAGATTTGACACTACCTAGTTTTAATCAACACGTTTGAATATCATTGCACATCCTACATTATGTTGCCTTCACCCAGATCTACCACAACAGGGGCATACTCTCCCATCTCATCGTCTTCGTCGTCAGGCATGTCCATTTCAACCTGTTCTCCATCCTCCAGCTGAAGCATGCCTCGCCGTACAAAAGCCCCATGATTGAGCTCCCAATCGTATTCATTCTTCACCCAAGTCTCCAGCTCTTTAAAATCTTCCTTCACCAAGGTCCCGGCACCCTCGATGACCTCATAGAGTGATGTTCTAAATTTCATAAGCAGCTTTCGTAGGAACTCCCCGCCTTCTTCCCCGTCGAGATCAAAGAACCCCCCTTCAATATCATCACATCGCCGAAGCTGTAGCAAGAGCAACCGTAGTACGTTACTTATGAACTGCTCTCTCTCTTTAATGGCTCTTTGACACGTAAGTATCAAACCAAGCAGCCTTTTCCACTGCTGAAGGCACGAGAAGTTCATCAACGTCAGGACCATCAAGAAGGTAAATTGTAGTTCACCCAGGATCTGTGCTTCGCCAAGCTGCTCATCAATCTTGCTCGTTCCCTGGTCCGCATTGGAAACCTGTTGTATGAGATCTCCTAGAGCCCACGAACGGTCCTGGGCAGCCTCTGTCCTCTCACGTCCAATAGCACCTTCCCTCCAAGTCTTCTTAAGGTCAATATGAAGGAAAGAAAACTCGCTCTCCTGCTCCCCGATGACATCCGCTAGTCTATCAGAGCCCTGGCCCGGTTCAGGAATACCGGGTATATTCTCGCTATCTTTCTGTGCTGTACTCGCTGATGTAACCATCCATCGAGGCCGACCGTCGACGTCTATTTCAGGGTCCCCAACAATGCGCTTCAAAAGCCTAGGAGACAGCCGGTTCGTAAGGCCCTCCCAATCTTGTCGACCTTCCTCTTCATACTCATCATCGTCGACATCCCGCGACTGAGCCCGACCCTCAGATGAGGGCGGTACGCGACTGCGGTAGCGGAATAATCCTCCGCTTTGCCAAACAGCAGCCAAGTTCGCCTTATGGCGCATTGCCTCCTGTTTATCTGCGTCATCACTGGCACGTAGGGGATCCAGCGCTTCGGTTTCCGTGTTCCATTTCCAGATAATCACATCGCGTCCTAGATTCCCTCGCGGAGCTGGAACCAGAGCACGCTCGTTCGTGGATCCGGCTGCGCTGATATCGCCGACGTAAAACCACCCGCCACTTCTCAACGACAAACTTTCTGTTACTCCTGTGTAGAGGAAATGCCATCCAGTCGGTAAATCGCGGATTCCATGGAAATTCGGCGTTGATGTGAAGGTAATGAGGTCGATGCCGACCAGTGTCTTCGGTGGGAGGTGGGGTACGAGGATGGTGGTGGGGGAGGGGATCACGGAAGCCATAGCTTAACTGTCGTTGGAGCTGTGTGTAATTTGCCGGGAATATGAAAGGTAGAGTGAGTTGGATCGGCGATATATAGCTGTCCTGATTCCTGGAGTTGTTCGTAGGACATGCGATGACGGAGCTGTCGCAAATGTGCCACGCTCTTCTCAAGCTGCTGGGGTGGTTCTCCCTGGGGTTTTCGGCAATCAATTCTTCGCCAGGTAAAACGCTTAGAAAGTAAGTTAGGTCATCTATTAAGGATTGTAGCTAACTGGCAGAGACACTGGGAAAAAAAATAATAAACTTCGCCGCGGAGTGAAAAGAATTCGGCGTAGATCACGGATAAGCTTCCGGCGCTGTCTTTATCTATATTTGGTTCTCCCAGCGTTGAATACCAATAAAAAAAACTAAAAGTCTGTGCTGCTGTATTATAAGGGTATGGCTGCCATGTCGCGATTTCATTTGTTAGTCTTAGATTGCCTCCCAAGATGTTGTAAAATGTCACTACGAGATCTACAGATGGACAGAAAAAGGTACACGGTTCCAGTTGAGGTATATTGACGAGACGTAGCTGCTATTTCAGAGACTACTGATGCCCAAAACCGAATAGAAACTTTTTTGGATATGAAGTAAATTGAAGACCAGGCGATAAAGGCCGTTCCTCGCGTTTATTCCATCCACATCCGCAGGCAGAGTACTCTGCTGATAGCCTCCCATCCAGCCAGGCAAGAAACTTGCACAAGTTGGAGAAGATATGCTCGCACATATCTAGAGACGACGACCACGGCGACCACCCTTGCGACGAGTAGAGTCGGAGGGAGTGGGGGTGACGTCCTCGATACGGCCGATTCTCATGCCAGAACGGGCAAGAGCACGGAGAGCGGACTGAGCACCGGGACCGGGGGTCTTGGTACCGTTACCTAGAGAGGATTAGCTATCTGGTGGTTGTCTTCCTTCCGCGGGATCTAATATCGCTACATACCACCGGTAGCACGGATCTTGATGTGGAGAGCGTTGATACCGAGCTCCTTGCAACGGGTAGCAACATCCTGAGCAGCCAACATGGCAGCGTAGGGAGAGGACTCGTCACGGTCAGCCTTGACCTTCATACCACCGGTGACACGGCAGATGGTTTCGCGACCACTGTAACCCAAGTGTTAGTCCGGTGTTTTTTTTTTTTGCAATTCATCTCCAATCTCCAGTATCTCCAATATATCTATCTTTCATGGGGGAAATCGCATGGACGGAGAAATCGTAGGAAAAGTGATGCGACGAACCTCAGATCGGTGACGTGGACGAAGGTATCGTTGAAGGAGGCGAAGATACGAGCAACGCCGAAAACGAGCTTGCCTGCAAACCCATTTCTGTTAGATTTGCGCGTTTATCATAGGCTTTGAGATTGTACATACCATCTCCGGCAAGAGGGCCGAGAGTGACGTTCTCCTTAGCGGCAGTGGTCTTCTGCTTGGGGGCCATTGTTGTTGTGCTGGACTGTGGTATGGAATATGGAAAAGAGAAGGAAGGAAAACGGATCCTTCAATTGACTTGGATACGGAAAATGGATGGTGTGTGCCCTACGGTCCTGTCATTGACGCTGATTGGATGAATGTTAAATCTCGGCGGGGATCAAGCGAGTTGAAGCCTCAGGCACTGATGTTTCATAGCATTTTACTTGACAGTCAGTAGTATTAGTGGGGCTGTTTCGGCCAACAGTCGGGCCGACAGAGCGGTGGATTTCCGCTTAAATTCTCTCCTCTCTTGCTGACAGCTCTCATTTTTTTCTTCTTTTCACACGCACTTCTGTGTTTCGCAAAGGAAGCGACGAAGCGACGAAGCGACCAGTGCAACGAATTGATGTTGGGTTGATTGCTCTGGCTGGAAGATAGTCTGAGTCGTCCATATCATCGTGCACAGCTTATCTTGGTGTTGCCAGTTTAAGATGGGTTTCACCAAGGAAGATGCCATGATTGGCATCATCGGCATGGGCGACATGGGCAAGATGTATGCCCAGCGCCTGAGCATGGCAGGGTGGAGGTAATTCTCCCAGCTTTTTTTTTTCGATCTTTGTCAGTGTCATGCACTGTGTTCTCTCGCGTAATAGGTAAGGCAACCCTTTTCATCCCCAGCACCTTTCGCGCGTCCTTTTTTGAATGATGACTTGAGTGCATTTGGCTCGAGTATGGTCTAGTAGTGCGCCGCATCACCATTCTGGTATATGGTTGTACTGCTAGACTGTCAATGATGTAAAATCTCAGCTACCTAAATCTTTTTGTCTGACTCGAAATTATCTTACCCGCTGTGTCACAAGTTCAACCTTTCCTGATCATGTGCTAACTTGTTATGTCAAGGTTATTGCAGTATATCGCTTCTATAGTTTATAGCCACGTCTTAGTTACTAACAAGAATATTTTCTTCAAGGATAAATGCATGTGACAAGCCTGATAGTTTTGAGAGCCTGAAATCTGAATTTGCGTCTCAAGTACGTCTGTCGATCACAGCTCATGCTGTTCCTAGACTCATCGTATATAGAAAGGTGTCACAATTTACCCGAATGGGCACCTGGTTTCAAGATTAAGCGACTTTATTATATACAGTGTAGAGGCCGGAGTGATCGACAAGGTAGTGGCGGAATATGGCCCATGTATGTCTAGCCAAACTACCACTGCCTATATTCAAGCAGTGTCTGACTTATTGACACAGCTACCAAGGTTGGTGCGATTGTCGGTGGCCAGACATCCTGCAAAGCTCCAGAGCTGGCCGCATTCGATAAGCATCTCCCTTCAGATGTAGAGATTGTATCCTGCCATTCGCTCCATGGCCCTCAAGTTAACCCGAAAGCTCAACCACTGGTATGATATGCAGATTGCTACCAGCTTGTACCGATAATAACGTATTGGTTCAGGTTTTGATACAGCACCGCGCATCGGACGAGAGTCTCCGATTCGTGGAAAATGTCCTGTCATCCTTCGAGTCCAAGTTTGTCTATCTCACTGGCGAGATGCACGATCGAATCACTGCAGATACACAGGCCGTTACACATGCTGCTTTCCTGAGCATGGGCACTGCATGGCAGGCGAATAAACAGTTCCCATGGGAGATATCTCGCTGGGTAGGAGGAATCGAGAACGTGAAGATCAATATCACTTTGCGCATCTACTCCAACAAATGGCACGTCTATGCTGGCCTGGCCATTCTCAATCCAAGCGCGAAGAAACAGATCAGACAGTATGCAGAGTCAGTGACGGACCTGTACAAGCTGATGATTGAGGGTCGCCGGGAGGAGCTTAAGCAGCGTGTCAAGGCTGCAGGCGCAGCCGTCTTTAAAGCGGGCACGGAGGGACAGGATCTGTTGCTGAAAGACGAGGTTCTTGATCGGTTCTCGCTCTCAAAGGGACCTCGTGAGGCGTCGCCACCTAACAGTCACCTTAGTTTGCTTGCAATCGTGGATTGTTGGTCAAAGCTTGGAATTGTCCCTTATGACCACATGATTTGCTCTACGCCTGTGAGTACCAATAGACAATCATTCGATCGATGCGTGGATCAATCACTGACTACTGCTATACTGATACAGCTCTTCCGTCTTTGGCTGGGAGTCACGGAGTACCTCTTCCGTAATCCTGACCTGCTTGACGAGGCATTGGATACTGCCATTGATGACAAGACATTCCGCTCTGACGATTTGGAGTTTACATTCGCGGCTCGGGTAGGTGTCATTTGGTTGCATTTGCCCCTTGGGGCCGTGCTCGGTCTTTTTTTTATCATGCAATATACATGCATTCCATTACAACGCGCTAACATGAGTGGATCAATGCAGGCATGGTCAGACTGTGTTTCATTTGGCGATTTCGAATCCTACCGCGATCGCTTTGAGCGGATCCAGGGATACTTCGCTCCTCGATTCCCCGATGCCGTCACGCTAGGCAATGAAATGATGAAGACTATCCTTGAGAAGACGAAGAGCAACTAAACCTGAAGGGGGAAAGATAACGACAAAATGACCATGATACACAAGAGCCCAATGGCAGGAAAGGGACGGATGAGATCAACATTCTAAGCTTAGGATGAAGGCCGATATGGCATATTTCGGGAGTATTACTCACGCCTATTGCTGGGTTTGTCAAGGGACTACAGGTGGCAGTTATTTAAAATATACTAATTGGCCTTTAAGTCAAAATTTCACAAGTTGCCAACACATTTTTTCGGTGCAGATTCCTTTATCAGGTAGCATAAACCCTGATAGATGCGCGGCCTATACTGAAGAGTATATTTACCATCATCTTGAGCTTAGTATCCTGCAATCACTAGTATGACAAGACATCATGGTGCCTAGCTCGCCTCATAGAGATGCACTGTATGCCTAAGGCTCACTGTAACTTCCCTTCAATTCATCCGCTTTGACGAGCAAATCCAAATAGTTATCAGGAGAACCTGTCCTTGCGCATCCACAACCCCTAGAAGAAAAGTCGGACAATCCCAGTAACAACAGGGCCCCCTTAACATTATAAACACTCGTAACCCTCCTCTTAGCATGCCATCACAGATATTCGTATCGTCAATTTGGATGCAAGTATACTGCTTCTTTCGAGTCTCAGGCACAAACACGGATAAGGTAACATAACTGAGCATCTGACCTCTAAGCCGTGTTGTCTCGACAAGCGTGACCCGAGTGTCTGGTGTTGGGTTGTCGCAGGAGGGTGTTAGAACCGTTGGTGAAGCACTTGCGATTGGTGCTTGAAGAGAGGCAGATCCTGGCAACCTTGTAAATGGGTTCAGGTAGATGGGTAATACCGGGCCCACCTTTCTTGAAGTATCGACGTATGCGGCCGGTGGTAGGGTTTTTTGTTGGTGTGAGGAGCCTTGCACGACAACTATGATCGATTGAGTGCACGCGCTTCTCTCGCGGAATACAAGGACTACAGTGAGAGTTTCTTTGATTACATTTTGTAGTCTTACAGTTGGTGGTGTCATATGAGCGTATTCGTGCTCTCCTGACCGTGGTGAATGAAGTAAGAAGCTATCACAGTGCTCGTGTCACAGAGGTAACACCGTATACTACCTGAAACTACGTAATCATTGACGATCTGCTTTTCGTGCCGATAGAACTTAGCCAAAGCTGGGAGGAGATGGAGGTATAGCGAATTATACTCCTGTTGATTTTTGTGGGTAGTATTGGCAAGGAATCCTATGCTCGATATACGATCTACTTTATACTTGATGCACCTGTAGTACATTCTTTCGATGTAATACCCTAGCCAAGGCTTAATTGTTGGGATCATACGCTGGCTATTATGGTAATCGGCGAAGTTCACTCTCAGATATCAAAGAGGGTGTATTGTGGACTAGTCTATCAGATAAGTGACAATTGCAGCCAGATGGCGCTAGTGTACGTCTAGAAAACATGGAATCATTTGTATTCCCTCTGTGTGGTAGGTGACTTGGTAGCTCTGGTAATTCAAGGAGTATTCGTGGGTAGCACTGCAGATTTCCTAGGTCTAAAACCAGGAATCTGCCTATTGTGTCACAGAGTACGAATTGGGTGTCGCCCAGTAAGTTCCTACGTATTCATACCAAGCTTTCTGTTCATTTACATCTCCTAGTAGAGTAACGCACATTGACTATCAAGGCATTTTTGAGGGGAACGGCATATCTGAGGCCATGCTTACTGGTATAGATGAAAAAGTTCTGTACATAGGCAGAGTAATCAGAGATTCTGATCACGCGTGTTAAAAACTGTTTTGCTTTTTGTATTCTCACACAAGGTTAGACCACAGTTCAACGTCAGCATATTTGATTAGCAAGGGGAATTACGTATGGTTGCAGGGCCTGTCCTTGGCCGTATTCGTATATGTGTGATTGAGTTCTAGATGTATTCGAAGATCAATGGAGGGCTCTAATAGAACAGTGGTTAAACAATGACTCAGAGTAACTGGTTGACTATCCAGATACATTCCCGTGACTCAGTACATTGAACCAAAGCCTTCACAGGTAAACAAAGACATCTATAATACTTCATCTAATGGAATTAACGGAGCTACCCGGAATCAAGGGTGGCATACTTCCTAGTCACTGTTTCCCTGTGAATGATAGCAATGTTTCTATGCGCTATCATGTAGTCCCGGTCATCCCGGAGTACATTCATCTCTTCTCCCAAAATAGGAGATAAGGAATACCCAGCCATTGACAAACTGGTAGAGAACCGGCAACATCTGAGATATAATTATATTGGTGCCAGTGTGCGATGATAGAAGTTTAAGATAACAAGAAAATAAATTAAAAAAAAAAGTAATATAGCAGCAGGTACTAATAGGTGGCGTGAATTGGATGCAAATGAATGGTTCAATGGCCACGAGAGACATTTCAGCGCCGTATTGCAGTGTGATCAGGTCTATACCTTGGGCATTCCCACATAATCCCTCTATATTATCAAAGGTTCTATTCACTTGCACCCCAGTCCTTGGAGCGTGCTAGGTGTGCATGGATGACTTCCAAAGGCGTCTATAGAGTACAACGGGGGCTGGTAGACAGATGGACCAGGATTAGATCCCCTTTGGCCTTGGTCTCTCAAAAAAGAAGGAAGGCTTTTGTACTGTACACAGAATCATCTCTGAGCTGTAGAAGGGACTCTTCTCTGCCTTTATCAATTTCTAAACAGGCCGATATACTGCGTACTAGGGCTTGATGGAGGCCCGGGCCGTTACCTTATATTTTCTCCGAACCAATTAAATAGCGTAACGGGCGTGTCTACCCACTCCAACATACTGTGTAGTTATCGTTTATACGGAATCTCGATCATAAATTATTTGGCCTAGAGGTCTAAGCGTGTATCATGCTGGAGGAAGACCAGCCGTGTCCTGCATGTTCATGTAACTTGCTTGAGTAGTTTGAACATCAGCGACTACGTGGTCCATTCATATTGTTCCCGCCAGATTGGTGTCCTGTCACATAATGGCCTGTGATAATGTTCTAAGGTACCTACCTCCTTGACGGCTGGGTTGACGGTAACTGCTCTTTTCCCCATTGGGAAATTGGGTAATAGATCCATGAACATGGATGAAACCGCTTGATTGTCTTCTCTATTTCTGCGGTACCGAGATCTCACTAGCAGTGTAGCATAGCTGCCGCCGTCCTGGCACGCGACCGTTTTCATTGTCGCCCTTTAACCTGGGATGATCAAGTAGTCTCCACCAACTGTTGAGCTACAATGTAACTCCTGGGGTTGCACCTAAGGCAACACGATGAGGCTCAGGTTTCCTTTCTTCCCTTTGCGCAATATCATCTGATATGTAGCCGGGATGGTTATGGCAAACAACTCGGTGCGAATTGCACACAGCTGGCTTTTAATAGGTGAAAGTGAGTTATTTCTAGCCTCGTGAGTCCCTTGATTCACGCCTAGCCTTATTTAAACAAGGTGTAAGTCTCACAGGTTCGTTTAGTATTGAATATGCCCCAGTTATAGTACCCAACTTGGCGCTAGTCCCAGAGCACTAAAGTCGGATTAGGGCATCACTATCGAGTCATGCTTCCACATCATTCTTAGATTATCGGAGCGAGTGAAAGTTGATGAAGTAATTCCCTGTAATGTGCCCCGCGTGGCTGCTTTTACCTTTGTAAAATCCTATGAATGAGCTATATATGTCTCTTGTAGGATGTAGGATTGTGCTTCATTCTTTCATCACATCTCCTCCATGTATATCGGTTTCATATGAGAACTTCCGTTCGGTTTGGGAGTAAGCAGTGGCAATGTTTTATTCTTTGTCTGTATTTCTGGCAGTTGCTTGATGTTAGGTAGGTCGCCGGTTGACTTAATATGAGTGTTGACTGATCTCTTCCAGTTTCCTCAACATGGGGTCATATCATCACTTATGTCCCCTCCAAGGGAGGTGGGGTATCATACAGCTTTAACATACCAGAGAATACAGCATCTACTCTCAATGGTACCATCTATCTTCAACTGAGCGCACCATCTCATGCAAAATGGATAGCACTCGGCCAGGGCGAGCGAATGGCAGGTGGGAACATCTTTCTCATATACGCTTCGCTTGATGGCAGCGTTACTCTCTCCCCACGAAAAGCATTCGGTCATCTTGACGTCTTTTATGACCCCAATATCCAGGCCTACCTTCTTGAAGGTTCTGGGGTCCATGATGGTGTGATGACAGCAAACATCCGCTGTGATAACTGCATGCACCTAGGCAATGGAGATAACATAATAGGAAGCTCTAGCTCATGGGGTTGGGCCATGCGCCATGGGTATCCATTGGTGTCATCTGATGTTGCTGTGCGGATTCATAAGCACGATGTTCACGGTAGCTTTACCTTGGATTTGACCAGAGCCATTGGCGGCAATTCATCAAACCCATTTCTCGACTCGACATACCCGCATCACGATGCCACCCCTTTCTCAAAAGAGCATGTCATTGATGATGCTTTGCTTTACAGCAAACGTGTTGCACATGGTGTGATGACGCCGATCGCTTTCGTTTTGATGTTCCCTGGCTTTGGGCTTCTCTTGCACATATACCCATCTCGCCACACTGTTCTGTGGATGCATGCTCCGATGCAAATAATTGCAGTCTGTGTAGCATTGATTGGACTTGGCTTTGGAGTCTCCGTATCTATGGATCTCAAACTGTCTAAAGGCTATCATCCTACTATAGGTTATGTTTTGGTCGGCGTTGTCCTTCTTATCCAGCCTGTCTTAGGGATTGTGCAACATTTGCATTTTCGAAGATCAGGAGGAACCGCCATCTACGGTGTCTTACACCGCTGGTTCGGGCGCCTATTATCAGCCATTGGCATCGTTAATGGTGGACTAGGGTTTTACTACGCGAATCAGCATACTGAGGATATCCCACCGATTCCACCGATCATATACGGCATGGTCTGCGGAGGAGTATGCATATTATATGTCTTTGTGGTCATGTGGCGTAGGGAGAAGACGAGATCGCAAGCTATTATCGCTAAGTTTCAGACTGAATCCCTCCAAAACAAAAGTGACTTGGACCAAGGCAGTGACAATCTTGACAGTGCGCGGTCGGGATCTGTTGAATCCAGCAGTATCTCTGAGAAGAAGTGGCAAGTTTCATGATATGATACATGATGACTGGCCTTGTCTCTATAGTGGCCTTGGTATTCCTAGGAAGCATGTTTATCTCCTGGTAGATTCGGGATCCTCTCGTACTTCGTCTATTCGTCTTGATATTTTGCCAAATGAACGAGGCACCGTTAGACGCAACTTCATATTCACGTAGTATATATATAGTAGGATTGTGTCTTGCAAGGGCTCGGATGATGGTGCAGATAACACGCAGTCTGTATTGTTTGAGAAATAAACATGACACATAAGTATTCAAACACGAGGTATGAATGTATATGGGATGGAAGGGGAAAGATTCCACAGATCAGTCGTTCGTTCTTTGAAGACATGTATGTAAAGAATACGGCACGATGTATAGCAGCCTGAGGCCATTGTAGGGCCTGGTTAGTCAGCGGACAACGACCACCTGAAACCAACGGTGGGATGGGCTCAGATCTCCCATCGAGGCTCTCGTGAACTTGCTTCTTGAGTTGTCATCTGCTGTGCCGTGGTGCATGTGACCCCCTACTCATACTTCGATACGCCCCGACTAGCCCCTCCTCTGGCCTCCGACTAAAGCAGCTCTCCGCGACCGCAGCGTACTCTTCTCCCCTCCCTTCCAATCGGACCCGCTGTCTAACCCCGACCGACACAAGGCGCGCTTGATCTATATTCACGAAGACATCTTTCGTCCTCGCGGTAGCACTCGGATTTTCCACGGCGGACTCAATGCGGCCCTCAGCCCCTCTTCTCATTCGCGACAGGTGATACGCATTCCGTTACGGCTAGATGGAGATCTATGGCGTCCGGATATAACTCAACGTTCTCGGCGACGTCGACCCAGCATCGTGCTGTGGGAGATGGGCGATCATACTCCAGTCTTGATGATGGCTCTGTGGATGGAAGCTGGCCGGGGGTCGCCTCGAGGTCGGGGAGAAATGCTCGATCGGAGTCTGGAGGTAGTGCGACCATCGGCTTTCGGGCAGCGCCGTCGTTGGCCCCCTCGTCTGGGTCTGGGGGCCCAGGTAGCTTCAGTTCTGAGCTAAAAAGCATGAAAACCTCACGGAGCACAACGCCGCGGCCCGATGCTACGTTTAGACGCAGAGGGAGCAGTAACGTCGAACCCGACGACCAATCAAGCACTGAGGAGCGTCAGGCTGCGATCCGAAATAAGATTGCGAAGGAAATGAAGATTAAAACAGGGACGGAGAATATGCTAGAGGCATTGCTGGCCAAGAACCCGAAACAAACAAAGGAGCAGAGGTTAAAGGTGGAATCGGAGTTGAGCTCGTCGAATCGAAAGCTCGCTGAACTCCATCATGAACTGGAGGAGGAACTACTACGTGCGCAGGCGCCGTCCACTCCTCCGCGCAGTCGCTTATCATCTCTGTTCCAGGGTAGCTCCATGCGATCACCCTCTCGCAGCAATGTGGAGTTGGACGAGGGTCAGCCGGAGGATGGAGAGGCGGAAATGGAGTCACCGACATATGTACTTGCAGAGACGTTACAAGCACTGGAGATTGAGGGAATGTCACCAGACTACTACGTTGAGCGTGCAAATAGCCTTGTTGAACTCTTCAAACGACACCCCACCTTGAAATATGACCTAGCGTGGTCTGTCTTCGGTTTGCGCGTCCAGGTCATGCTCCTAAGTGACAACAAGGAAGTGGTGGCAGCTGGTTACAGGTTGACTCGCTATGCCATTGCTGATCGGAAATCCCTCCAGATCATCCGTGCATTACACACAGACGAACTGGTGATCTTGTCGCTTGTCAAAGAGAGCAAAGCAAGTATTGAACGTGAACAAGCCTTGAAATTCGTCAGGGCTTTTCTGGATGTCAAGGATGGTGTGCGTGAAATCTCGCGCGCTGTGGTGCGGACGATTGTCTCCGTTGCTGAGCATTACGAGGATCGCCTCAGAAACATCTCGATTATGACCCTCGCCGAAATTCTAGTTAAAGAACCAGAACTCATTGCTTATGCTGGTGGCTTTGCGACATTGCATGATGCCCTAGCAGAAGGGACATTCGGGGCCTCTGAGTCTCTGATAGCGAGCTTTCTGCATGTACTTGACACCCCACAGAGTAGAAAACACCTGCGAGGAGGGACCGAGCTCGAAGCTGTTCTTGCGCCATTTACCGATTCACTAGCAGATAGCGTTCGCAACGGCCGGTTAAAGTCATCAGCTAAAGCTATATCGGCAATGCTCAAGACATGGCCGGGCTTAGTAGTCCTCGCAAGGAATGGTGGAAAACCTCTACAGTCGCTCTTGGAATCTTTGCACTACCCTGATTCGCAGGCCAGAGATCTGATCATGGAGCTCTTGTTTGATGCCCTAAGAATTAAACCACCGTCATGGTCTTCATCTTTCCTGGCGGGTCGACGGCTCACAACTTACGGCAGAGTCTCAAATCTTCGGTCAGAGACAGACACCAAGCAATACCGCGGGTACTACGACGACAATGAGAGTAAATTTGATCTAACAGCACACTTCTCTACCCTCATCCTCGCGACCTTAGTGGATGCAGGATTGTCCAAGGTACTTTCCCTCTTGACTTTGTTCGTATTAGCTGTATCGTTGCCGGCTTTTGCTAACGGGCATAGGCGCTTTCGGAGCTCATCGAGGATGAAGAGGATTTGTCTCTTAGACGTAAAGCAACCTTGCTCTTGACCGAAGTTTTAAAGCTAGCCCAGCACTCTTTGCCACAAGACATCAGCTCCAAACTCCAGGTCCTTCCGCACTTATTGCCCGCCGCAATCAAGTTTGATGTTGACAACCATGATGTTTCCATGGCCACAATATATCAGATTGAGAGCATAAACAGAACTTTGGCCCGTTCGGTCGGTTTTTCGAATGGGGCTGGGCGATATAGTGTGGATGTTGACATTTCCGCCTCTCTTCTGTCTAGTGACCAAAGCAAAGACAGACTGAGCCCTACAATGGATGAAACCCAATTTCGCAATGCGATTCTGGAAACGCATGTCTTGAACACAGTGAATTACCTGAAGTGGAAATGGGATCTTATCCACCGCATCGTCGAGGGACCCCTGACGAACCCCAAGAGGCTAGATGAGGCGATCAAAGGATCCAAGTTCATGAAGCGACTCATGGGATTTTATCGGCCTTTCAAGTATAGGTTCTCCATGCTTCCAAATACCAAGCCAAACCAACGCTATGTTCGAACAGGTTGCGCGCTGATGCGCACCCTAGTCTCGATTCCCGAGGGAACAAAATATTTGGCCGAGAACAAATTCTTGAGGCAGGTTGCGGAATGCCTTGCTCAAGTAGATCGCATGAGCGGGCTGACGTCCTCATCGCCTCTCTTCTCACGAGAACAGATGGCTAACACATTGAGCGGCGGGTATTTTGCCCTGCTAGGCACGTTAACCGGCGATGCCAACGGGCTTGCTATGATGGAGCGGTGGCACATGCTCAACATGTTTTACCATATTATTGAGCTACGCGATCGAGACGATCTCATACAGACTCTTTTGGGCAATATGGATTACACACAAGACAGCCACCTGAGAGTTATGCTGTCTAAGGCTCTCACGACAGGCTCGAAGGACATTCGTATATTCGCGACCAAGCTGCTCCGGAAATACGCAGTTGGTAACGTTCCACTCTCTCCACAGATGGCCATAGGAAATGCCGACTGGGTTGTTAAGCTTCTTGTCACCCAACTATACGATCCTGACGTGTCTGTATGCCAGATGGCCGTAAAGATTCTTGAAGAAGCATGCAACCATCGAGACTATCTCGAGTTTGTGGTCAAATGCAGGCCATCCTTGGACCACCTGGGTGAGATTGGCGCACCCTTGCTCTTGCGCTTTTTATCCACCTCAGTAGGTTACCACTATTTAGATGGACTCGACTACATCACGCAAGAAATGGACGATTGGTTTCTGGGCCGGAATGATGCGTATGTGGGTCTAGTGGAAGCTGCTCTATCACGGGCCTACGTAGATCAGCCGCGAAGAGGCAGTTTTGTTCCGGAAGATCTTGTCGATCTGCAGGATATCGGGCTGGTCCCACCGCATTTTTACCGAGAGCTGGCCCGAACCGCAGAGGGCTGCAAGCTTCTTGAACAATCGGGTCATTTTAGCGAATTCGCCTGGACCATCCGCGATTTCAGTCTGGACGAGGAAGATACCGAGGTTCTGCTCAAAGTCAAGGGCTGTCTCTGGGCTGTTGGGAACGTTGGCTCCATGGAATTAGGCGCCCCGTTCCTCGAGCCAGATATCGTTGAGCGCATAGTTAAGATCGCTGAAAGTGCTGAGGTTCTAACGATGAGGGGAACCGCATTCTTTGTCCTTGGTTTGATCTCTCGCAGTCGACATGGGCTCAAGGTACTGAGGGATTTTGGCTGGGACTCTGCTTTCGATCAGAAGGGAAATTCTCTTGGACTCTGCCTTCCTACCGATTTCAACAAATTGTTCCTGGTATGTTCTACACCAATACTCAGTCGAAGATACCACAAACAGACACTAACAGTTTCTTTCTTTTCAAGGTGGACTTCCCTTCACATTCTAGGAATCGAGAATCCAAACGCATATCCCAAGACAAGTTCAAGGAAGCTACCACCGATTCAGATCCCACCAACCAAAAGATCTTAAAACTCATTGTCGACATGGGTAACACCGTCCTATCCAAGCGAGCGGCGGCGGATCTTCATAGGTACGTAACCCGTCGTCCCCAAACCATGCCATCTAATACAGAACAATTCCACTAATCACCGCTATCAAACTATAGCATAAAGTCAAAACAGCCCGAACGATTCCACCAGCCACACCTATTTCGCAAAACCCTCAGCATCCTCGAAAGCCACCACTTCCGCCTCCCTGCCCGACGCTTCGCCCTTGACTTGTTCGATAAAAGCGTCATGCGACGAATAGTAATGGAAGACGACTCAGACACCGACTCAGAAGCAGCCTCCTCCCAGGAATCGGGCTAAGCTAAATGAACGCATTGGCTTTTCCAGTTCCCCGACTTCAAATTTACAATATAAAGCCGAAATAACACCACATATCTCATCCATCTACCCCGAAAAACCCTCAAAAGCCATCCTGTAGCGGACGGTACCACCGAGAGGAAATCTGGAACAAGACGCTTGCGCCGTCAGACACTCCCACATTACGGGGCCAAGAGTACCAGACCCAGTATTCTACCTCACACACACAAAAGCGTTCACCTTCATCGACGCTTCGTCCCCCAGTGTCATATGGCGATCGGTAACTCCTCCTCGGCCCCTTCATCTATCTTTCTTCAGAGTTATGTTATACCCAATAGTATCATAGAAACAACAAATCCATATACATACATGCATGCATACCCCTGAGTTTGGATCTTCAACAGCTTATTGCAGCTATTTTAGTGCTATGTTTTGGTACGGCGTTGGATGGGTTTTGGGCTCACGAGCAACGAAAGGATGCTAGCATGTGATATCTTTCTTTTCTTTCACTTTCATGACTTGCTCTCTTCGTACTTGTCTTGCTTTCAGTAGCCTTTCTTAGGTCGTTCAGCGGAGGAAGAAGAATACGGAGGAAAAGGAGCAACTCAGCTAAGGAGACAAATATATGACGAGGACCATTGGTTGTGGCCTTTTGGACTCTAAAAACGGAAGGCTATCTTAGTCTCATTGTATTGTACATACAACATGACTATCTATCCATGTGGAAAACTACTTATCTTTTCCCTATTTTTGTTTCGTTCCTCTTCCATGTAATGCTGTTCACTATGCTTAACTAGTGTAGCTTGCCCACTCACCCGCACACCGATTACATTTGGAAGACCCATCCTAGGGAGCTCAAGCATCCATGGTGTATGACGACAGACGACACTACATGTTGTGATTAGGCATATCATTTCTAGCACCTTGCTACCACTAAAGTCTGACCTATACCAACTATTTAGCAATACTTTCTAATGTATTGGATCAACTGATGTAGTTAAATCTCCATCAAGTATCCCTTCCACAGGTGTTTTTATTAGTGCTGCACCTTCAGTGCAGTGTTCTGATGGTAACTATCCAATCCAGCTTGACCGTGATCATGATCAGTTTCATCTTCCTCGGCCCCGTCAAGAGAAAGGAGCTGGAACCGATTGAGAACCGAAACAGATTTTTTTGAAGGTACCTGTGACTCTTTCTTTAAGCCGTTGGCAACCTTGGTCAGAGGCTCAGCGCACTCATCCGGATAAAATGCAATCCTCATTCCCTTATATGTGAGCCGAGACATCATACAAGAGCGTGCAAACAGCGCGTTATGCACGGAGTTTGTGGAAATGTACGCGTTTCCATTCTTAAATTTGATTGTGATGACGATGAGGTTATGGATATGGTCGAGGTCCTTCCGAATAAGCCATTCCGTGACGTTGGGGTGCACGTTGTATAGGACAAGATTACGTGAAGCTCCGTTGTTGATCTTAGCCCTGACAAAGGGGGGGAGGTAAAACTGGCGGTCATTCCAAGATATCTCCACCTATCATCAATGTTAAACATATTAGTCGTAAAATACCTCGGCGTGGGGCAACGTACACGCTTTCCAGCAATGTAGACCCCGTGACTTTTTGCATGCTGAATAAACTCCTGTGCGTTTGCCTCCTCGACGAACGAAATGCTGGCCATGCGCTCCCGCGTTCGAAGGTGAATATGGAGAAGAGCGCCGCCCTTTAAGGCTTCAACAACATCTCTATGAGTAACACGATCGGGGAGGCCACGAAGTAGAATGGTTCGTTGAGGGGTTGAAGCTATCGACGACCCTGAGTTTCTAGAGGAGTCATCGTAATCATCCCTATCACTATCTTGGGAAGCTAGCAGGACACCCTCTTCATCATCATCATTATCATCATCATCGTAGCTTTCCCAACGCCTGTGATCATTGGATACATTTGGTCTTCTAGATGATGGAGGCTTTTTGCGTTCTAAGAAGCCGCCAGCGCACGTCTTACTGCTACCCCGAGAATCGGACAGCGGTGGCGAACCGTATATCAATATCTAGGTAACCAGGTCAGCAAAATGGTGTCGCTGAAGAGCAGAGATCCTAACATCGAGAGTTTCCTGAGACAGTCCGCCATTCAAAAGCGACTCCTTTAGCTTTTCTGCGGATATTCAGTCAGTAATGAGCGCAATGCAGCATAGGAATCGTGCTATGCAGATATTGGTAGGAAACGTACTGAACTGAGTTGATACTGCAAGCTGATGCAGTGTCAGCTCGCCAAAACCCGGCAGTTACTATCCAGAGATGTGGTATCCTTCTCTCAACACTACTTACCAGATTTTGGTATTCTGTGTTTGAAATGGTCACTAAATCTGAGTTTGCAGGGCTTTTATTTTCCTGAGACGAATGCTGTTTCAGGTTTGTGGTCCCAGGAATAAGTAGATGATCACTACAATCCAAAGTATAGGTTATTGGACTCACAGCTTCTACTCTGTCAAGTTATTAGTAACCGCATGCAATCACTGCATCGAAGTTCACATGAACCCTCTCCGAAAATAACAACAGAGGAAGAAGGTAAGTCCGCTAGTATACGCGGAACTATAGAGGAAAGCTTTAGAAAATACAGAAAAGGCCCCAATACTCACCTCTGTAGCAGAGATTCAAAGTGACGTTTTTCAACAGTAATAAATGAAGAAGACATGGTACCGTTTCTCTGCCTTCGATCTGGTTTTGGTTTAGTACCAAGTGGGCCGAGAACAGTAGAGAGAAAGAAGGCTTACCTGCGAGAGACTAAATAATAGGAACTGACTGAACCGGTCAAACTTAAAATAAGAGAAAAGTGACAGGAACAGTGAGTGAGTGAGTGAGGATTGGGAAGAGAGGCAGAAGAAAACATGCAGCAAGAAGAGCTAAAGTCTCGTGCTTTCCACAAGATATATCACAACGTCACCCCACGTTACTTCTGCAGGTGCGATCAACAAACTAGCTTAACCTCTTACCAGCCCCCTTTCCTGAGCAAGTACCTGATACTATCAGAGAGCGTTTATGGCCTTCTCCACTGGGGAACCGAGCTCGATCACTTTCATCCTATGAGCGACCAACACCGCAGAATGGATGCAGATGATATGCAAGACGGCCAGAAGACAACATGCATGGCCCCTCCTATTATTAAATCCTGGTCATGATGGGCACTCGTGTTAACCCAACGAGGCGAGCCCCAAGGAAGAAGGAAAGAGAGCAAGCCCAGACGCCAGAAATATTACTGGTTAGACGAGTATATCCTCAACTTGAATCCTCTTAACAACGCAGTGTGACGGATGCATAGCCACCTGGGTGGCGTTGGACAAGTCAGAAATTCGAGCCCAATGTCTCTGTGCCAATGCGCGCGGCGCCGGGATCGTCCCGTTCTGATTTATTGGCGATACGCTCTCAACGACGCAAGGCGCTTTGGTTTCTTGTTCCAGTGCTTGGAAATGGTTCTGCTTACCGCTTATCTGACCAACGGTTCGCGCCTTGTTCTTTTATTGTTATTGTTATTGTTATTTTTCATTTTATCTTTTCTTTATTTTATTTTATTTTTTTTTTAAAAAAAAAGAAAGAAGAAAAAAGAAAAAAGTTCTAATGTTGATCTCGAAATTCAGTCTCCGTCTCTTCCTAGCCGTACAGGAAAAGAATGTACGCTATGTTGATCGTCGGCGCCTACTGCAGCCAACGCCTGGATTACATGAACAGGTGTTCAAATCCTCCAGTCGGCCTATATATCCGATAGTACATGAACCGCTTCAAATACTATCCGACTGTCAGTCCCGCAGTTGATGACTGTACATACATCTATCACTGCGGGTTCCATATAATCATGTTTGGATGTACAAAGCAGGCTCCCCATGGGGTGTGGATATATGGGGGTATCCAGCAGCCGGATCATAAACCATCTCTATCTCCGCCAGGATTAAAAGATAGTATATAATCCTAGGGAAGTCGCATTGGTTAAAGACGGTCCTGATGCACAGCCGCCAATCCCTCAATGCAGCCTTGTGGCAGGGGGTTTAAGTGAATCCACGGTTAGTAAAGACGCAGGCCAGGCAGCAATCATCTCAGCACAGCACAGCACACCAGGTTTGCCAAGCTACTTTATTTTGATCCTTGATTGGCAATAAGCAAGTGTTGCTAGTCCAAGATGGTGGGTAGAGCCACCGCAATTGCATGCATGTTTCAACAAATGCTGCAGAGTGTCACCCAACATCTCTGGTAGGTTCTAGGGTTCGTCCCTCGTCCTCACCCTCGCCCTCGCCCTCGCCCGGTGGCTCTGGTGGCATCCTTGGGGGTTCTTGCTGGGCTTGATTATTCCGCCGGTCTTCTATTGTTCCTTGTCGCCTCGACCGCAGGATTTGGACTCCGTTGGCAGCCACCTGTGCTACGAACATAGCAAGAAAGATGCCTATTACAAGGGTCTGCGGAATATAAGTTTCGGAATCCTGAGATTCTGCCAGCTGTTGCGAATTATCAACTGACAAGCCAGCAGAGCCAAAGGTAACAGAGAATGACATGGATAACGGGGTGAAAGATGTCAAAACCCTTGGAGACGAGAACGGTAAGAATGATGCGACCGGACCCATTATGACCGGGACTAGAGCAAAGACGAGGAGAGGGACGGCTAGTCATAAGGTAGAGGTAATGGAGGGCCGGGATCGAGCCGTCCTGGTCAGATAGTGCATGGTGAGTAACACATCATTACCGAAGGTTTTCCGAGTTGAATGATCAGTGGTACATACCATTCACGAGAATCCAGCTTTCTTACCCAACGTGCCGTGATCTTCAGTCTTTCCCTGACACTGGTCGTCGATAAAAGCTTATACTTTTCTTCTTCCCAGACAGGTAATACGCTGGCAAACCACCAGGGAAAATGTGAAGGTTCCGTTGGAATATCACCATACGCTAAAAGCACCCGAGGATGGAGCCAAGGAGCGGCTTGGCGATGTTGCTTCCTTACGAAGTCCAAGCCCAACTGAAACAGCTGCTGTGTTGGCATAGACTCTAGTGGCTGCTCACCTGAAGTATCCGCGGCAGAAAGTGAGGAACCCCCGGCAACTGATGTCTCCAAGGCCTCCCGATTTTCCTCTTCTATTACCGAAATATCATCCACGCGCTGTATCCGGCCGACATAGTACATGTCCAGCACATATGAACTGAGCACCTTGAAACGGTATAGCCCGGTAGCAACCACTAGGCTTCTCCCATCAGGGAGCAGCTCATAACGATCCACAACCAAGGCCGTGCCATACTGCATGAATTGCGACCTTCCAAGTCCTTGCTGGAAACGACCGGCACGGTTATACATGACCATCCCGAATCTGCGCTCCCTGCTTTGCATGACTCTTTGCATCATGAGCCGATAACGTGCCTCAAAGACATGCAGAAAAGTTGGCATCGTCGGGAGAGAAAGTGAGCTGACAAACAAAGGAAGTGTTGCTTCGTCATCGAGTGCAGACGCTTCCTGGGCACTCGTGTCTCTTCGTAAAGCGACCTCTTCAGGGAACAAGGTTTCCATGATACCGGAGATTCTTTTGTTAGCAGGCTCAGACTTCACCGTCGACGCCATATTCAGTTTACGGCGACAGGCAGGGCATAGATCGGAGTGGTCCAGTGCCATTGCAACACATCCACGACAGAAGGTATGGCCACAGGATGTTGTCAAAGGATCCAGTATAAGCGAATAGCAGACCTGGCAGTCCAGCTCATTCCGAACAGCGTCCTTAAGTCTTTCGAAACGTTGATTATCCTGGTTCATAGGCTCGTGCATCTCACACTTGAGATCCGACGCATCATAATCGAAGCGACCGTACTTGACTAGGTCGTACATACCCTCTAGTAATCCTCCCGCAGCATCTGCACTTTTCACCACCGTCCCGGGCTGATCACCTCTCAGCCCTGCCCATGTCATTCTAAAGCCACGTTCGTTCCCCGAAGATGTTTCCGGGCTAGCACTAGAATTGCAAAGTACCGCATCAAAAACATCCACCAGCCTACCCAACAGCACGTCAGCCCCACAGTCACCTAAGCAGTGTTCCCCAGCACAACCATCGCCCGTACCCCAATGGCATGTGAATCCCCTTTTCCGTTCGTCGCTCGCCGGATATGTAATCCCCGTCCGCTCATGAATGGGCGGCAGGCAAGACCGACATAACGTGTTCCCACACGGAAGCCGCAGTGGCGCGCGTAGAGGCCGCGAGCAACAAGAGCATTGAATGAGGCGGATAAGAGCGTGCACCGTAGCCGTCAAACCCGGGCCAGATATATCCGATAAGGGCGAGGCTGGCGACGTTGCTGTCGGGCGGTTTGTGTCATTCTGCAGGGAGGGCGGAGATGTTGCATCCGCGGGACATGATGTGTCTTCTTCCATTTCCCGAGAGCCTTGTGCTTTATCTCAATGTAGACTAAGTACGTGTGGAGGACTGAATACGTATTATTAATGATGAGGTTATTTAACCATGTTAGTTGTTGGTTGGGGAGAAGTGGAGGCAGTCTATTTAGTCTTTAAAAACTACTGGTCATAAATAAGACGGAGTGTCTTCCGACGTCCCGGGATTGATTCCTCTCTGGCTTGCCTAATTTAACCGTTTCTGGCAGATGAGGTCTGGGCATTTGTTCTACACCAGTTTACCCAGCGTGTTAGTAGTAGCAGTGGTGAGAAGCTGAGCCGCCTACTGCTACTACCTACTAACCAAGACAACGTCTGATCATCTCAGTTGAAGTCGTAATCTTGCATTTTCTGGCGGACGTCCTGGTCACGTGACATCAAATGTATTCCAGCTGTCCAGAAACCGTTAAAACAACCACAAAAAAAGAAACCCAAAGACATAACATAGGATAACATCCGGATGGCTCTTTTCTCTGAACAGGAAAAAAATATTGGGTGATATTTGAGATACCTGGCCTATACTAAATCCAGCATCGACAGAGCCAGTAGTATCGCACCATAAAAATTCCACCCCAGCGACAACCAGATCCGAACCACAACCGATTGCCCTGGGAGCACGCTCCAAATCTCCTCCCCAGTACACCTGATAGATACCATTCCGCGTCCTTTTTTGTATTCCCGTCGGTCGTCCGTAAAATGGGTCTTTTTTTGATTCGAGGCCGTTTAACGGTAGGACTTCTGGTACCTGGCGCGGGCACCGCGACCACCGAACTTCTTGGGCTCCGTGCGACGGTTGTCGGCAACGAGGAGTGTGCGGTCGTACTGGACAAGAGCCTGCTTCAGCTGGTTCTTGGAGTGCTCATCGACGTACTTCTGGTAGTAGGCGACGAGGGACTTGGCGATAGCCTGACGGATGGCGTAGACCTGGGAAGTGTGACCACCACCGGAGACGCGGACACGGATGTCAACACCGGCGAACTTGTCGGCACCGACGATGAGGAGAGGCTCGTAGACCTAGATTCTTGTATCAGGTGGGGATTGTTCCGTTGGGTTGTTCATCTTCCTTGGTTTGGCGTACCTTGAAGCGGAGGATCTCAGGCTGGACCAGAGAGAGGGGCTGGCCGTTAACCTTGATGAGACCCTTGCCTTGCTGTAATGATTCTCAGTATTTGTTCCTTTTTCCATAACCGTTTCTTGCAAAATCGAAATAGCAGAGCGCATATGTCGCAGGTTCAAAACATCATTCAATCACTTCATGCTCTCCTCTCTCTTCCCGATGGATATTTCCCCTCCTCTTGAATATATCGTAACGTAATGTTGTTTCTTTCTCCATTCTTCTATTCCACTCGAGCGATAATCTCTCCCCAAGCGACCATACACAGTGCGACAAGATAGACAGAAAGAGAAGAAAAAAAAATTCAGTTGCATACCTTGCAGTGGGCGACAGCGGTAGCTATAAAAATTTAAGTCAGCATTTTATTTCTTCCCGCAAACACCCCTTTCAATATAGGGAAAAAAATCCCATCAGGCACAAATTCTTACCCGTCTTCTTCTTGCCGAAGCATTGCACACTCGGGACGGAAGCCATGGTGATCGAATGGCCCTGATCGGTGTCGGGAAGGGGAGTGTGGTGAAGTTGTCGTCGTCTTCCTGTTATTCGAATCTGCGGTGATGGGGTTCAGAATCCGTGCGGGTGACTTCGCTTAGTGCGACTCCGCTAGGGCTTGCCGCTGGTCACGTGTCACGTGATGCTCCGCCGAGGCGGCTGAAGTTTGGGTCTCCATCGGAGGTCGGGATAGAGACTTGCTCTGCGCGATTGTTGGTTTGATATCTGCGGGGACGGGTTAATTCGGTTTCCTTTTATAGTTCTTGTGTTTGTCTTTCTTGATAGAAAGAACTGTCACCATGTCGCAGACTGTTGGAAAGGTAATTCAATTCCTCTCAATGATCTTTTGACATCCTATTATCAATGTCTTATGTTTCTACCGTACCTATCTGCGATGACATATCGACATTGCAACACATGGATTGAACCCTCCCATCGGACCGGAACCTACTCAATGCTAATACATTGGACTAATATAGACCCGTCTCGCCTACTCTCGGGCCTGGCACCATGTCGACGTCGGCACCGACCCGCGCAGTCTCGGCCGGCTTGCTTCCTCCATCGCCCTCTTTCTGATGGGCAAGCACAAGCCTATCTATGACCCCTCTACCGACTGCGGTGACTATGTCGTTGCTGTGGGCTGTCACGACTTGAAGACCACCGGCAAGAAGCGCTTCCAGAAGAAGTACTACACGCACACGACTCGCCCCGGTAGCCTGCGGAGCATGACGATGGACAAGATGTTCGAGAAATGGGGCGGCGGTGAGGTCCTACGACGGGCTGTTAAGGGCATGCTGCCCAAGAACCGGCTGCGGGAGAAGCGGTTAGCTAGACTGAAGAGTACGTCTATGTTTTTCCCCCCTTTATATGATCAATTGTTTTACGGGGAATGGGGTTTGGTCAACGGTGATTGGGTGCTTCGATAATTAGAAGTTGATTGCTAACGACGGACACGATATAGCTTTCGAGGGCCTGGCTCATCCGTACGAGGAGAACATTGTCAAGTTGGGGAATGAGTCGGTGATTGCCAACTTGCCGGAGGTGAAGGAAGCGTTTAAGGAGGCCAAGACCCAGGCATAGTTTTTTTTTTTTTTTCTTGGGTCATTTCTCCATGGTCTATTGTATTTCTTCGTCTGTAATTTTATGTCTCTTCCTGTTTATCTGCTAGCGCATGGGTGGGAGTTCTTTTGATCTGTTCTGATTATAATGTTTGGGCTTTTCGTTCCCGCTCCCGGAAGATTGCTACTTGCATCTACACATATACGGTGCATTTGTACTATACGAGCCAAATTGGAGGTAAAATAAAAAAAAAAATTGAATAAATGCTATACCCTATCCCAGACTATATACAGTTTGCCTTGGAAACTCCGGAACGTGAGAATCATGTGGTTTACAATTTAGACTTCAGAGAGGACCGTCCGACGGTGCACTTGATCAGACCGTTGGGGTCCGACTGCGGAGCGAAGACTTCGGCGTTCTTGCCGGTGTTCTGGAGACCCTTGTGCCAGCTCAGGTCTAAAGATTATTTCGTTAGTGACAATGTCAAAGCAGGGTACAACGGGAATGTACAGAAACCTACCAATTTCGAAATAGTGCTTGTTAGGCAACGAGTACTCGACAGTCTCGACCAACTGCTGGCGCGCCAGGATCTGCTCTGCCATCTTGTACATGGTGTTCTGCACGCTAGCACTGTTATCCTCGGCAAAGGTCTTGAGGGTGACTTCGCGAGCAGTGGCCCAGGTGGCATCGAACTTAGGTACGTGCGAGCGGACCTCATTGAGTCCACTGAAATTCTTCCACTGCCAAGAGGCATCCACGTCGGTGCTCAGAATGCGGTCCCAGGTCTCCTTGAGCGTGGTGTACTCGTCACGCAGGAAGCCCCAGAACTGCGAGTTGGTGCTCTTCAGCACGGTCAGGCCGGACAGAGACGACTTGATTTCGATTCCCTTGCCCTCAACCACATCAACCTGCACATTCCGCTTCTCCTCGCTGTCGCGGATGAATGAGTGTGGGTGCGGCTTGCCGTCAATGTCCATCCGAGACCAGCGGTGGCAAATGATGTTGACGTGAGCGGCATGGATGTGCTTATACTTCTCAATGAAGTGTGTGCCCAGGATGGAGCCGAACAGCTCGGGAGGGTTAACGGGGTTCTGCTTGGCGGTAATGTAGATGGTGTTCTTAATGGAGTCGGTTGCGACAATGACGCTGTTGTCGGCCCTGGTGTAGCTGTGATCCTCGGTGGTGAGCCAAACTTTCAAGGGATCGGTATAGACCGGAGGAGTCTTACGAGGTCTCAATCTCTCCCTCCAGAAGCACACAGACGGTCATCTCGTACACCGTCTGGACACCGGTCTTCTCGTCCTTGTGGACCTTGTAGACGCGGACATTGTCCTTGCCGTAGCGGGCTGCTGTTACTGCGGACATTGTGATGTATAGAGAGCTAGAGGGTATGGCAGAAGGTTGGAGATGAACAAGAGGGCACCGGAAGGAATGAAATGGGCAGTGAGGTTTTGGGACAAGACAAAGAGAATGCCACCGGACAATTGTCGCCAGCTTTTAAATCCTTTGGATCCCGTTTAAATCCCGAGAGAAGGAACAGAGCGACGGAATGGTCTGATGGGCATCGTCGGCCACCTCCGAAACCCGCGCTTCGCAACGGCCGCAACCCTCCTTATCTTATCGCGGCGCATCTTATCGATAACATTCTTTTATACTTTGCTGCTACAAAACCATTGAGTCGCCCAGCGCTTCTACAAGGAGATCGGCGTTTGTTCTCTTAATCCCGAAAATGCAGCCGTGGATGGTCTGCTCGGCATCAATCAAAGGCGCACCAGCAACAGGATGATGCCGCAATGGGCTGTCTTTCATACAAGCCTCGTATCCGCAATGGAGTAACAAGAAACATCCCCCTGCCTACGGCCGAAGGGGCTAGTGGAATGTTTGCGCTACCATGAATCTGGGGACCCTTCTTTCCTTCGGTGGGATGCGAAATGGGAGTGTTTTCTGCGATCCCACTGTTGTGTCGGGGTCCAGAAGAGGATTAGAACTTGGAACACGCTGCGGAGAAGAGAAAAGGGAAAAGGAAAAGGAAAAAAAAAAAAAAAAACAACAGCGACGCAGCCTCTTCTCTTTCTCCACCCCCGAGATCGTTGGAACGTCACTCCCGAACATCCACCAGGTACACCTTCGGCGCCCACAAAATGACATCTCTGATCCCCGGAGGTGTAAACGCCCTCCATGGCTCTTACGATATCGCTCATCGACGGTGTTTATTGTCGCAACAGTATGGACCTCATTGTTCACGGTGAGTGGCTGCGCCCTTGAATTGCGCAGAAAGCATAGCTAACGACATGCAAGGACTACTATCTATATGCCATGGTGAGCGAGGATTTCGACCGAATTGCGCGTATTTTCGCAATGCACCTACTCACAGGAGCTGCAGATTGTCCCCGTCATGCCAACAGCCCTGGTTGATCGCGCCGGCGTCCCATACCAAGACCGTTCGTGCATCTCCTTAATCTCACATCTCTACAATCCCCTCGTTGACTTCTCCAACAGGCGAGTACTGGGTTAGCGTTCTACTCATGTGTGAAGCGGCCGTCGCATGCATTTGCTGCCCGATTTTCGGTTACATCGTTGACGTCTCGCCCACCCGCCAATTGCCTTACCTGCTCGGGCTCATCCTCCTCGGCGCATCCATGATCATCCTTTCAATTGCGCGTACAGTTGGCTTCTTCATCGTCGCCAGATTGCTGCAAGGCGGCGCGACGGCCATGGTCGCCGTCGCAGGTCTCGCACTTTTGACAGACTCCGTTTCGTTCGATAATCTCGGCCAGGTGATCGGCTACCTAGGTTCCTCTGTTGCGCTGGGGTTCCTGCTTGGTCCGTTGATAGGCGGGGTCCTCTACGAGAAATCGGGATACCAAGCGGTGTTCGCGATGGCGTTTGTGATTGTCGGCGTGGACTTGCTCCTGCGGGTCGCGGTTATCGAGAAAAAGGTTGCCTGTCAGTGGCTCCCTGAGGACTCGGAGACGAGCCAGTCAAACCCCCACGCCAGGGGATATAACACCTTCGGCGACGCATCAGAACCATCGGATTCCGAGTCACCCAAGTCGAAGAAACCAGCCCTGTTCCTCATTATCCGCCAGCCACGGGTCATGATTTCGTCATGGGCTCTCCTCGTCCATGGGCTCTTATATTCCGCTTTCGATGCAGTACGTTATGCTTCTTTCTCAGGTCCAAGCGCCTCCAACAGATACTAACATAGTCTCCGCACCACAGACAATCCCCGTATTCGTCGAAACCCGATTCCACTGGGGACCACTAGGTGCAGGACTAACATTCCTCCCCTCAGCCGTCACCGCGCTCTTCGAGCCCTACTTCGGTAAGACCCAATCCAAGAAATCGAAGAAGCCATCGACCTTTTCTAACCGCCCCCCCAAGGCTACCTCTCAGACCGCTACGGTGCCCGCAAGGTAACACTAATCGGCTTCCTCTTCCTCTCCATTCCCCTCGTCTGCCTCCGTTTCGTCGAATCCAACACAACCCCCCACATTGTCCTCCTCATCACCCTCCTCACCTGCATCGGCCTCCTTATGAACCTGTGCGTGCCCGCCCTCTACGTAGAAACCCAGCAAGTCCTCGAGGACATGGAGCGCGAGCGACCAGGCATCTTCGGCAAGAAAGGAGCCGTGGCGCAGGCGTTCGGCGTGCAAACTATGGCACAGTTTCTGGGACTCTTTGTGGGCCCGCTGTGGGGTGGATTTGTTGAGTACCGGTTCGGGTGGAAGAATATGTCCTGGACGTTAGCCTTGTTGGCCGGCTTGACTGCCGTTCCGATGTTGTGGCTCAGTGATGGGGGTGAGAAGGTGAGGGGAGATGAGGAGGAGAGGGAGAGGTTGGTAAATGGGGAGGGTGCGTAGGGTTTCTCATTTTATTGATTTTGGGGTATGGATACTCTGTAACATATGCATGGTATGTACTTGGGTATGTTGGTTCTGGGTGTAGAATAACCTAAATACTAGATAAAAATTTTGGTACACTACAGAGTCAAGTATGGATAGGACCACCTTCAAGACTTGAAAGAAGAAGTGACTCTGCACGATTCCATGTTTAATGATCTATCCAGCACAGGTTGAACACACAATCAACACATCAGCAACATATACAGTAAGTACCCTTCTTTAATATCAACACGGTAAACCTCCAAATGTATGTAACCCTAGAAAGACGCGTCCGCGGAATGAATCCTCTACACAAACCGAGAGTGAATCTTCTACCAATGCAGTCCGTATATACAAAATAGTATTAACATACATACCTCTGTGTGATCCAAGCCCAATGCCAATTGCAACAACCTTCAATCCAAACCCAACTACACAGCCACCACCATGAAACCAATCCTCCGCCATACCAAAACCATACTCCCATACTTACCCATCCCAAGAATAAGAATAAACAATCCATACAATCACCCATCCTACGTCACATACAACCAATCACCTCCCCGAACCTCGCCGATTAGGGAGGGGGGGGGAACTGAAGTTGACGGGCAAGGAGCGCTCCTGGCCACGGAGAGTAGTATTCCATGCGGAATCCGGTGAGGTCGAGGGACAGTTGGGGTGGTTACGGGGTGTGAGGAGGGTGATTTAGCTGAGTTTATCAGGCCTGGTGTGGTACTTGTGTCGAGGTCGTATTCGTGGACGATGGGTTGAGGGGTCCCGGAGCAGCTGTTGAGATGTCTCATCGTCTTCGCCCTGGGAGGATGGTTCAGGTCAATCCGTTGCCGCTTGTAAGTGTTGGTATATGTGTTTTATTGTTTTGCCAGGTTGTACCTGACGTCGTGATTGTTGAACAGTGCTACCATCGCCTGTTCTGGGTTCATATCTGGGATTGGCAGGGCTGACCTCTCGGTAGGAGGTATAGATCGAATTATTGGGTAAAAGGAGCTTAAGAGCGTAATATAAGAAGTACCAATCCCCTCCTTAGAGTAGGAAAGAGGCCAGTAAATCCACATTCTAATACTCGACATTTTATCGTATAAAAACACTGGTTCATCCTCAACCGGACATCGCACGAGGTTGAAGGCCAAATCCCAAGACTTCATGTACACGTTAGTCCAAAGTATATCAGAATATAGTTCAACCCGAGAAAGACAAAGGGAAAAAAAGGTAAAGATGCCCGGGTAAGACATTTTCAGTTTCCAGCCCATCCGAAACCCAAACGCCGTTCATGCGCAAACCGAACGCCAAGCGAACATTTTGATACCGTAGACGTCGTTCCAAAGTTTGTATACGAATAAAAAAAAAAAAAGAAAGGCTAAAGAAGAGAGATCAATCACAAGCTCAACTGGTCGATGCTTCCCACTCGACCGCTCCCGCCTAATCGGCCACCGCCCTTCGTTACCATCCCTAATCGATAGAAACGCTCCTCTCCGCCGGGCGTCCTCCCGCCAATGTACCATTTCTCCGGTCCGAGAGCGTCTCGGAACCCGCCCGATCCGTTGGAGCTGTCGCTCCCGCGTCGTTGGCGGTCCGGCCCATTGGCAATCGGAATAGGGTTAGACGAAGCCGGGGTTGGCGGGGACGAGGGAGCTGGAGGAGTGGCGGAGGATGAGGGCACCGGGGAGTCCCCGGCGGGAGATGATTGATTCAGTGGGGATCGGGTATGTGAGTGGGGTCGGGAGTGGGAAGCGGCGGCGGAAGATGAGTGGTGATGATGATAATGAGTCGTCGAGGCGGCCTCGGCGGAGGCCCCTGAGTTGCTTGCCTTGGTTGCTATCGCGCGGGCACTCTGTGATATCTGAGTCGGCGAGAGAGACGAGGAGGTGCCTGTGGCCGACTGAGAACCAGCGGCCGAAGCCTTATACGTGGACTGGGCGCGGAACGCCGCCAAAAAGTTGGCCAGGAATGGACGGTTGGTGGACATCGTGACGAAGACCAGGTCTTACGGAGCAGGTCGTTATAGCATGAATCAGAGGCTGGGCAATGGTGTCGCAGTCAGATTGACCACGAACGTCGAGTGCAGTTGTATTTGTATTTTTAGCCAAGAAGGGTTCCCCGCGGCAGCGACAGGGCCCTCGAGATATAGATAGGATGTGAGTGGAGGTCGGCACAAGGGAAAGCGTTGGCGGCAACCATCCGAATACCGGCGAAGGGTCACTAAGTAACGGTCAAGATCTCAACCGAGACGAACATTAACACTAAAGTACCCCTGGGACACATGCACGGTGGATAGTAGCTCGATGACGATCGGCGAGTCTGCGGCGAGGGATTTGAAAAGGAGGAGGACGAAAGAAAATAGGATGCCAAAGTTTGAGGCACGCATTCAATCCAATCGATTTCTCCGAGGCATCCCGTGGTCGGGGAGCCAATCAGTGGAGGCGCATATAAAGAAACTCAAGAGTGACGTCTTCCGCTTCTCTTGTTTTCCGGTTTTTGGCTTTTCTTCTGCTGCGCTGCTGTACGGCATAAGTTCGTAATTAGTTGACTACTAGTAGTAAAGTAGTTGACTCCTCTCCGACCGTCGTAATCATTAGTCACTGGAATCAGCACAACCCTCCCTCTTCGTACGAATCGGATACCCCAAATCCACTGTTCCGCGGAGGGGAAGTTCATCAGAAGAAACGTGGGGTTGACTTTGGTGGGCATCTGACAATGCATACTACTAGTAACGCCGTAGTCTGGAACTGCTAGTGTTATCCATAGGGAATTCTCGGGTTCCACTGCCATCCGGGCAAATGGGTCTTGAAGTCAAGTCACTGGACCAGGAAGCGCATCCTTTATCGAGCCTGCATCACGGGATCCAGCGACGACCTCAACTTATGGAGTACGATGTAGTAGTTAGTACCCGGGTGGCATGATGGTTCATGCTCCCGATATGCTTACTATCATTATCATTATCATTATCATTACGATTATGCCTATTAATTATACGTGTCTCCTCACGACGATGTGATCTATCCTACTCAAGACGCCTCGACCATTGGAACATATTTGATTTGATCTGTATTTTTATTCTTTTTTAATTCCCTCATTATCCCTTTTGGCTTCGAGAATCTAATCCGATCGGAGTCTATATTCTAATTTTGGATTCCCTTGGCGCTTTTTCTGTAATTCCACCCAAATGTTTTCTCCATCCAGCCTGGCCGACGGAGACGAGCTGCCTCGCTCCCAACCCAGGACCTGCCATAAACCCCCGCCAGAGAAAAGGAAATGAGACACAATGCAACCAAATAGACACAAGCAAGACAACCGACGTATAACACATCATGGGGGGCTGACCAGGGGCATGCCCCAACGCCCGTCGACAAAAGCTCACCGGCCAGGCTCTCCAACGCTGTAGGAGGCGTAGGAGCCTTTGCCAACGTCCGCGGGGGCAACCCAGCCGTGACACGTATGAAGAAACAGATGGCTACCTTTTTTCACACAATTCGAGCAGAGATGGAGGACAGAAAACACAGAGACGACAACACCATAACACAGTAAAAAGACAGAAAAAAGAAAAATTCAACGTAGATGAACAGAAACAACTCAGTCCAGCTCAAGTTCATATGTCCGAGCTGAACACCTCGAATGTACTTACATGGTTGGTCAGGGAAACGACATGCGAATCGAATCAGAATGGTTGAGAGGTCTATGCAGAACAAACCCGAACGCTGCTGAATTCGGCCAGCGTGCCCGGGGGTCGACCAGTAATGAAACAGAACACAAGGCGAATCGCAATGAACAGTCGACAGAGGCCATCCCACACGAAATCTTTTGGGGCACATTGCAAGGAAATGATGCAAATCTGAACAGGAACACAAACGCAAGAAACACATGCCCAGGTCTATTTGTCGGACGCCGGATAAAAGCCACACACCATCCCATCTGCCCACTCATAATGGATGGAAAGAAACAAAACTGAACCAGGACCACCACAAGATTGCACTCGCCGTATAAAAATGCTGACACAATTTTGAAACCCAACAACCAGACACAGGTGAGCGTATTTCGTAAAGATAAGATAAAAATTGTTATGCAAGTCGAAGGCGATCAGGTGAGCAACGCTGGACGTTTGGGACAAAAGCCCACACACTTCAGATAGTACTTAATTCTCGGTCGCGGCGATATTGCAGTCAAAGCGCACCTGCACAGCCGATGCCGAAATGGTGAAACGGCGCAGATTTCATATAGTGACTCGTAGATCCCTATTAGAATAATCGAGGCGCGTGTGTTCAGCAAGCCAGACTCATTGAAATAGTTCAGAAGCCTAGTAGTTTTCCGACCAAAGAAAAAGTTTGACTATACAAAGCTCCATCTTGATTTGCACGAACAATGTCCAAAATCAACAACGCAGTCGACCGTTACGCATTCGTTTCATTTCGCCACTATTGCCTCGCGGGCTGAACGGTACCTAGGGTCGTTGTGAGCCAAAGACGTCCTGATCGACCCGGAAGATCATATGTAGGATTCCTGCGACTTACCATCACCGGCCAAAGTGGTCGAAGCCAAGTAAAGACCATTCATGCCACCTTCCTGGGGACCACCGGTCGTGGTAGGATAGAATTTCCGTTCGGTATCGACGTGAGCATGGATCGCTCCTGGCCAGACGCCATGGATTGGGGGAAAACGGGGTTGATGTAACCATCATTCGCTCCGGGCTGAAACATCGAAGTCCAGTCAATTTCGCCAGTGTGATTGGGAGTGGGCCCAGGCATTACTGGGCGCTTAGGGTCTTGGACCACCGGGGGTTTTACCTGTTCATAGGAAGGACGGTCAACACTCAGCTGCTGAGATACATCAGTGCCAGGTTGCGCGAGATACGGGTTCTGCTTGGGAGCCGCCAGCCAGGGGCCTCTCTGATGCGGCTGACCAGCGGGGAACGCGTCGTCCGGTTGACCACGGTTCATCCCATTGACCGGCGACATCGAAAAGCCCAGAGGCTGCTGATCCGTGAACCCAGGTCGGCCTGAAGCCAGCCCGTTACCGTTCACGGCCCCCTCGCCGTAAGCCGTACCCGGAAGGGCAGTGGCAGGAGGGACGGTACTACTGACTTCATCCTGAACCGGTTTAGCAGGATTCGCAGCTTGAGACCTCTTCAAATGTGCCTGGGGATGCGACAAGTGGGTCGCTCCCGTCGGGTTACCACGTCGTAACGAACACTTCTGGAAGTGGCGCTTCAGAATATCACTACGGGAGAAAGTGTCCTTGCACAGAACACACATGTATGGGCGGTCACCGGTATCTGCGCGAAAAAGCAAAGTTTGTCAGCGAAATTAAGAACTTTCGGCGCACTTCAAGTCAACTCCAAGATAGGGACTAGGGAAACTCACGTCTGAGCAAATGGCGCTTCAGATGTTTGGCGTGGAGATAGGTCTTGTTGCAGTGCGGGCAAGGGAATTTTCCATCGGCATCCTTGGCCGGAATTGTGGTGTTCTTCGCTGTACCATTGACACCGTTGGTGACTGGCGTGGCGCGTCCCGGAACGCTCGGGAGGATTCCGCGTCGGCCTTGAGAGCCAACCACCTGGGTACGAGGGGGCTCCTTTGCACCGTAGGGCGAGGCACCGTTTGCGCCCGCAACGGGATCCGGGTTCATCCAGGGAGAGCCCTTGCCATCTGAGTAGCTGAAAGCACCGGAAGGCATGCCAGAAAAGTCTGGCCGCCGGTCCCGCGGGGGTGCCGGCGCGATCGGCTGCGGATATGTCTGCGCGCTAGAGGCCGGAGGCAGCACGCTGTGGGGTGGAGGATATTGCGAAGGCTGAGGCTGCGCCTGTGGATTGGGGTGGGAGAGGAACGAAGATGGAGGCAGGCTACCCACGGTGGTGTGAGGCATGATAGGAGCGGTCGACGACGCGTAAACATCGTGAGTAGACGTGGGAAACCTCGACAGATCCGGCCTGTACGGCGGCTGGCCCATGTAGGAATGAGGGGCAGGAGATTGACTGTGATGAGGCTGCAGCGGGGGGAGAGTATGAGGCTGGGACACGGGGTACTGAGGCTGCATGGTGTACTGAGGCATTGGCATACTCATCGTAGTCGGGAGAGGCGTGGAGCCTTGGGGTAAGCTGGTGGATGGGGGCCGCGACGGATGAGATCTGGGATCATCATGAAGCGGAGAGGATATCAGATGGAGGGGAAGAAAGGGTTTGGACTGGAGGTAGAGTTCACGGTATCCCGATCATCGATTGTAGAACGAGAAAAACCTTTTCGCCGGCTGGTCTTCTGACGAACAGGCAAGCGTGATACGTGTGCTCTCGACTGCCAATTCCCACTGCAAACGAGAAACGGATCACTTTCTGCAGAGTTTTCCTCCTGTAGTTCTCTTGTCTATCCTCGTTGGTACTTTTTCTTTTGCTTTTCCTCTTCCGACGGAATGAATCCTCCCACTTAACGCGGTGATAGGACGGGAATATGGAGACGTCGGGAGGGTAAATTCGATCGGACAATCAATTCCTCAACCAGCAAACGCTCAAGAATCCTTGCAGTCGATGATGGGGGCGTACAGGAACAAGTGCGACTCCACTGCAGAAAAGAAGTCAGGATGAGGTCGAGATGCTTAATCGTGAATTCCCCACGGTCACCCACCAGGAAAATCGAGTTGTGTGGGAACTTCTTTTTATCCGCACGTTGTCAACAGTCAATGGTTCTGATCCACCAGCGAGGCGGCGTGTATGTGGGTCTAACAACAACCAGCAGTGCTTAGAAGAAAAAAAAAAAGCAGCTAGTGCTTCGCGTCAACAATGCGCGAAAGGGACCAGGATTTTCAGAAAGATACAAAATTTTAAAATCAAATGAAAACTGTCAGGAACAGTGCAGTTACAGGTGCGGAGTCCACAACAAGTATGAAAAGGAAGAAGAAAGGGGGGCGAAGGGGGAAAAAGAAAAAAGAACTGATAGAATAATAATAATAATAAAAAAAATTGAAAAAAAAAAAAA